ACTTCATGCAAAAATATGCAAAAATGGACTTGTCACTATTATCACCTACCTATAATGGAAAGACATTGGCGGTACCTGGCGCTATGGTACCGAAACTCAACCTATGCTCTCACGACCCTCCCCTTTAGTCCCCTGGTCTGAGTTCGGCACCGCAAATCTTTGGCAAAATAACAAATTGGTGAGCCAAAATTCTCAGAAAATGGAATATACGACTATTCGTCTACTTGGACGATTTTCTGATTGTGAACCAACACCCACAGGCACTAAGAAAAGATGTGAACCCAGTCCTAAAGACTCTCACTACCTTAGGCTTCACAATAAATATGGAAAAAAAACACAGGAACAAACTTAAAAAGCCTGCCTCAAGAAAAAATTGTAGCACTGGAAAAGAAACTGCGAAAGTTTACATAAAAACAAGAAAAAGGTAGCAAGCAAAATCAATTCTGGGCAAAATGAAATTTGGGAAAGATTTGAATTCTAGCAAAACGTCAAAAGAAAGAAATCAAGATAGAACATATTCCAGGACAATACAATATAACATCAAAACTTTACTACTCATAGGAAAGCAATTATTTAGTTTTATTAATATTGAGTCGAATAAATACTTAGAAAATCAATCAGAGTGCTTAGGTATTTTACAGCACCTGCTATTGCATATCAAATCCAATTATTTATTCGACTTTATAGAATGTGTCGAGAACAAGGAACTTATGATTGATTATTTCCTGAAATTGTCGATGGCGCTTGCAACAGTGCCGAAATATCGGAAACTCGCTAAAAACAAGGTACATGGTAACAATCCCGTAAATAACTTATATTACTATAACATTATGTATCTATAATTGGTGCAATGTCATTAATAAATATTAAGAGGCACAGATGTTCTTAGATCAGAAAATAAACAATTGCCGCCTTATTATTAAAATATCAGAAAAGAATTAAAAATAAAGAAAAAAAAGTATTTTATTTAAACTAATTTTAAGTATGACAATATTATTAAGAGATATTAATTTGCTGCTCGCATATAATTCAATAATTAAATAAATGGTAAGTAGCGGCATAATTATAAAGCATCTTAAAAGACTGCTTTCCAAAGCTATGAATCACTGGCTGTAATGTTGTAGATCTGAAGCCGTGATGACATTAAACTTGAATTCCGATAAAAAAAAATAGTTTTTGGCGGGGTTTCATCAAGTGCGGTTGGCGTCTTATTCTAACTAATATTTAATTCGTTCATGGTGGATATTGTGAAATAAAATTGGTGTTATTCTGTGTTACAATCGTCTTAGTAACTGAAGAATTAGTGGACTCTTTAAAATATACGAGGTTTGTTCAAAAATTATAGCGTAATTTGAATAGGGAAGATGCAATATTTTTATTTTTGTTTTCATTTTAAAGAATTCCATGTAGAATAAACCACAGATATATTAAAAAACTAAAACATTGTAATTTATCGGAAAAAATGCGGTTTTAAATGGACAGTTTAAATTTTCGCGCGAAAACGGACCTATGGTTCCGATGACGTCACTCCTGTCTACACTACATGTCGGTCGTACTTGTTCGTCGCTGGCTTTCATACTTTTGCATATTTTTTCGACTTTCGAGATATTTTTTGTAAAAAATTAAAAAGGACTATCCATCAATATCAGGTGATCATAACAATACCACTAATATTCCGAAAAAAACCGTGTTGACTCATGTTTTGTGCCAATGTGTCCATCTACTTCAACAAAGTTTCCAAATAAATTGTTTTTGACTTTTGATTGAATTAATTTAATTGACCCAAAACTGAAAAAACAATGTTGGTTTCAAGCTGCGAAGAGAAATGACAATTATTCTCCAAAGACGATTCGATGCTGTGAAGATCACTTTGACGTAAGTCGGCGAATATACTTATTATATGCTTTTAATTTATCTGTTTATACGTGAAAACGCGTTAGTAACCTATTACCTAATACATACAAAACCTGTCTATAACATATTTTTAATTTTACAGTTGGAGAATGTCGTCGAAAATTGGATAAAGTTATAATATGTGGCACAATCTCACATTGGCAGAACTGAACCAATCTTTGCGTTTCATTTAAAATAACTGTAACACGATAACCTTCTTTCCGCACTGTATGCTCCGGAGTAACTCAACTTTTTACTGTAGGTACATAATTCTCCATCTCTTTTAATTTGGACATAGCCGATTGCGTCATCGCCGTAAGATTCTCGTGTTGAGCTAAAATAACTGCTATGTGTAGAAGTCACTGAATAAAATACATAGTACAACTATGATTTATACATACCGTAGTATTCATTCATTTCTACACTTGAAAACTCTGCACTTTGGACAACAAAAGTTACAACCATGTCAACACTAACTCTTGGTAAATTCCTGGAGTCTGCTTTGATAAACCCAACTTCCATTTTTATTAAAAAACGCAATTGATATTTCCATAAAATAACATTCACTTTTACAACCATAACCTCTAATAAGTTGTCATAACAGGAGTGACGTCACTAAACGCTGATTGGTGTTTTAAAATACGTTGTTTCAAGTTATTTTTGACGTGACAACGTCTTAAATTAGGTTGCGGCTGGGAGTCACTTATGAAAAAGTGTAACGCTCGGTAACGTTACGATGAGTCTCTCGTGTTAAGTTTAAGTTTACATGTACAATGTTTTAGTAAACAAAATATATTTCTATAGTTAAAATTTGTGCAATTCTTATTTTCATTCAATTCCTTGTTCCTATTGTGCAATTTAATTATATTCATATCAATAAATATTCTACCGAGAAAAAGACGTTGTCACGTAAAATCTTCGCCCGTAAAACCGACTTTACAGGCAACCATTTTTAATTAGTAATTATTGTTAAAAAACAACATTATGTAAAATAAAATCGTTGCAGTCAAAATTTTCATAATTATTATATTTGCATCTTCCCTATTTTCGCGGGCTACGTATGTTCGATTTTTGATCTTTTGATGGCGTTATGTTGGTACTCATGACCCTCACTTATGTTGACAATTTCGGTCATTTTGAATGTCCAATCAGTTTTTGACAGCTATTGTGCGTGGGGGTGTTTTAGCTTGTCTTCGATTTTCGTCTATTCCAAAAAATGGATCAAAGAATTTGTATCAAATTTTGTGTGAAGAACAACTTAAAGTGCGCGGACGCATTCAGAATGTTGACTGTTGCATACGGCGAAGCTACTTTGGACAAAAGCAACGTTTATCGGTGGTACAAAATGTTCTCAGAGGGCCGTGAAGATGTGAGCGACGAAGAGCGTTCCGGACGCCCGAGCACGTCAACAATAGACGAAAACATTGATGAAGTAAAGAAACTAGTATTAACCAATCGTCGAATCACCGTCAGAGAAGTTGCTGAGGACCTAAATATGTCGATTGGCTCGTGCCATTCGATTATTACCAATAGTTTGGGCATGAGACGGGTAGCCGCGAAATTCGTATCAAAATTTTGGCCAAAAACAACACTCTAATAATGCCGCAACCACCGTATTCCCCAGACCTGGCCCCCTGTGACTTTTTCTTGTTCTCGAAACTGAAGAGGCCCATGAAAGGACGACGCTACGCCACGATTGAGGATATAAAGATGGCATCGAAGGAGGAGCTGAACAAGATCACAAAAAAATATTTTTCAAAGTGCTTCGAAGATTGGAAAAAACGTTATCACAAGTGTATAATGTCTGATGGGGATTACTTTGAAGGGGACAAAATAGATATTCCTGAATAAATAATAATTCTTGAAAAAGCATGAAATTCGCGATACTTTTTGAACAAACCTCGTACGTTATTCCGGTCAAGTGGACGTGAGAACTTTATTCTAGTATTGACTACCTAAAAGAAGCTTATCGAGAAAGCTGACTCGAATCTCGATACATTACGTGCCAGACACTCCAAGAAACATTAGAATGCGTCACACCCACATTCTAATGTAAAAAAATAACAAAGAAAATTGAAGACTAGGCTGTATGGGCATTGTTCCCTTTGCCTTCCTTTAAAAGGGAGAACATTAAAAAACCATGTCGAGCATGAGAGTTATCACAAAGGGTTTTTGGCGGGATTTCATCGTGTGTGGTTGGCGTCTTATTTTAATTATTCTTAAATTCGTTCATAGTGGATATTGTGAAATAAAATTGGTGTGATTTTGTGTTACAACCGTCTGCGTAACTGAAGAATTAGTAGAATCGTCAAAATATACACTATTCCGGTCAAGTGGACGTGAGAATTTTATTGTAGTATTGACTACCTCACAGAAGCTTATCGAAAAAGCCAGCTCGATACATTTCGTGCCAAACACTTCAAGATACATTAGAATGCGTCACACCGACATTCTAATGTAAAAAGAAAAACAGAATAATTAAACTTAAGACTAGGCTGTATGGGTATTGTTCCTCTTGCCTTCCCTGAAAAGGGAGAACTGAACCAAAAAAAAAAGAGATCACAATATATGTTTATGTCAGCTTGCCTATTGGCGATAATCTTACTATGGGAGTTGTCCGTCTGATGCGTAAGCATCTAAATAGTATGTGGTGTGCTCTATTGGCAGCTGTTGCCAAGAGATATTGTGGCAGGGACTGCTTTTGCCATTTTAAAATGCAAAAATGTTGGCGTATAACCTGTCGGTCTATATACGTCATTGCACCAGATACTAGGTAAATTGGGATGACGAATGTTTTTGCGTTTTTCTACAGTATAAACAATATTAAGATATTTATTAGTAATATATCATAGACAGGCCATCAAGACTAACCTTTTTAGTTTTTACTTTAGTTTGACTCTAATAGTTGTATGAGCATTGTGAAAAATTTAGCCTGAAGTCTGATTTTGTCCCATTTTACGGTACGCCATCTTTTCCGGTTGTGACCAAGTGACCAACGAACATTCATACAAGTATGTATACCTACATTATACTCTTATTGTTTTTGCATTTTTGATGTTGTATTTAAAATATTACACACTGAATAAAATAAGTACGGATCTACTTACCCATGAGGTGTTAGAAGTCACTTGCTATATACGCGCACACAAGTACAAATGACCATTTTCAGCAAGTCGAAAGCATTGAGTAGTACAGAGATAAAGAGGAACTAAACGAACCAACAAAGCGGCTATTTATACATTGTCTATAACACACACAGGTAATTCCCCGACAATAATCTAGCGAAAACGAATATCTACTCTTAAATCTTCCAGTTTATTGAAGGCCAAGGAACTTCATCCATTGAGCCTAGCACGATCACAACCAACATCTGTCGATGGTTTACTTTGGGCCATGGCGAGTTATACCACAAAAATAATTGATGGTTACGTTATACTGTCTTATATCAAGTTAATTATTTAAGTAGTTTAGTTTCTCTGTAAGTAAATGGTTATGTTTATTGTAACTTTGGTTTTATAATGGTTTAGTAACATTAAAATTCGTTTTTGATCATTTATCGGCATGTTCAAAATTTATCCAGTATACATCCAGTGGATGTGAGAACTAGGTAAAATAATATAGTGCTGACTATCTCACCACAGAAGCTTAAAGCGAAAGTTTTCACCTGGAAAAGTCAAAGGCTCACGCGGACGCGGATGCATTTTAACGGTTCTGGTAATCTTGTAATATTTTTAAACGTATGATCGTAATGTAAAAAAATGAAAGTAAATAAATACTAAGGATGCGGCTGTATATACTTAAAATCCTTAACCTCTCTGAAAGGGAAATTATTATAAAAACTAAGTGACGCATGCCCAATGACTAAAGAAGTAAGCGCATGCCGCCTCCATGCCGCAGTCATGTCCTCTATGTCAAATGTTCTCTATTGGCTTATGCCTGTAACATAGTATCTCTAACTAGTCTGTGTGTAACAGGTCCTCATCATTTTAGAACTATTTCTGTTAACATGTTATGGTCCGATTTACATGATTCTTTTCTTGTCCGAAGTAATACTCGTAGATAAAAATTTAAGTTCTCCATCAAAAGATTTAGATATTCATAAAATTGTGAAAATAAATAATCCGAAATATTAGTTTAACTTTTAAATAAACCGATTTTTATTCAGTGGAATATTCTTTTATTGTTGACATCATAAATCTACATTTAGGTTTATAATGGTGTCAATTCTAGCATGATTCTCTAAACCTAAACTTAAATTCGACAGCAGTATATCCTTGTCATTCTCTATACAGAATGAAAAGGATAGACTGATGTTAAATTTAGTTTTAAGTTTAGAGAATCACGCCAGAATTGGCACCAATAAATAAATAAATAATTAATTGTAAGTTGAATCTTTTGTTTTATTGTAAGCAATTTCTTTTTTCTTCGTTAAGTATATTTTTTTATTTATTTATTAATGGCTAAAGTTCTTATAAAAAAGTAAAAGTCTTTATTTAGTTTAATTAAATACTTCTTCTTCTTTTTCTTTCTTTATGGCATGCACGTTTTGTGCGTTCAGCCAATGTCAAGTAAAAATTAAGGAAAGAGTATAGGAAAAAAGGAATCGGAAATATTACTAAATTTGGAAAGGATCAGGATTGTAAAAATATATATACATATTTACATTTAAAGTTTTATATTATTGAGCAAAAGAAAAGATAAAATACATTTATACACAGATAGGTCATTAGAATGTAGAAGTGTAGCTATCTGTGGTAGCTATATTGGTCGGGAATGGTAACTGAAGGGATAATATGTCTTTAAAAAGTAAGGATCTATGGAACAGAGGACAGGAAAACACAATGTGATCAACATTTCCCTCATCGAACCCGCAGTCACACCTAGGATTATTTATTATATTGAGTTTGGCAAGATCAGAAGGTACAGACGTATGGCCCAGTCTCATTCTATTAATTATGAACGTCTCCGTCTTAACAATAATTAAACACATAAAGTTTGTTTTGCAATTATGAAAGTTTTTTAACTTTTTTTATATTCTCGCAACAATGCAAAGAATACAACGCAAACAAATCAATGGCATATTGCCGTTCAACAGCTAGTGGCGCTAGTTTCCATACATAATAATCGTAAATGTACACAGCGAGCAATCAGTTAGCGATTTGTTTCGGTAATACAAATATGAATAAAACGACCGCTACTGCTATGTAAACCGTGCCGCTTTTCAAGAACTTTGTATGCTATCGGTACACATCTGTGCTCAGAGGCACGCCGAGCTAAAGCTATAGCTATAGTTGCAAAGCACTTTTACTATCGCTGAGTATTACAAAATAAATGTTCAAAGTTTAATTCTATTGAAAGAAAGAAAAAAATAATTTTATTAGCCTTAAATAATAAGATTACACTAAAAGAAAGCAATAACAAAAAAAGGCCAACTAGGTCCCTGCATCAGCATAGTGCCACAGCGACGCCAGGGCCGCTGCGGTCGTCATCTCCGCAAGTCGCGTCGGCCGTCTATCTGAACATGCGTGGTGACAACAGAGTGGATGAGGAGTTCCGCAAAGATGTGGCCAAAACAAGTGTTAGCCACCAAACCAGAATCAACCTCCGCAAGCCTGCTTACGTGAAGTGAAAAACTATAAAGTGAGTCGTAGCTTTTATGTCAAGCTTTGCATATGTAGGAAATGAGTTTTGAGATGTTTCCTTAATATGTGAATTGTTTTCAGATTACGCACTGGCGGCGGGAGGTCGCTCCAGCATTCCGTGGCTGCAAATCTAAAGAATCTACGAAATGCTGCTGTTCGGTGCTTCATTGTTACAAAGACATGCTCGCACTGCCTTACTGGGTATCTACTCTGATCACGCATACATACAAGTTTATTAAAAAGATAGTTTGGTCTTCCCTTGTCCAGCACATCAAATAAGTAGCCAGATGCAGTTGCGCACAGGATCGTTTTGTAAATAGCAAACAATTCAGTTGTCATTATTGAGATATTATGCTTTAATTTAAATACAGCATTATATTGGGGAGAGGAATATAGAAAGCAGAACTTTATCTGATTTTGATTCATCATATATATTTTTATCCAATCACCAAATTGATTTTATTTAGAATATTGTGTTTTAGAGCGTTATGTCATAAGCACTTTTGGAACCTTTAACACTCTCTATATTAAATAATAAACATAAAATAAATTCATGTACCATAGTGTAACGTAACCATATATTTAATTGGTACATTATGAGGGGGTATGAAGAGCTAATATATTCAGTTGTCGTAATAACGAATGAAGTAACAAGTAGAGGTTTCTTTTTAGAATGCCAGTAATAACCTTATGTCAGTTCATTCAGTTCTAAAATTAGTTCTGTATTTAAGTTATCAGACCCCGATTTGGCTTTATGGCAGTATTTAAAAGCAAGATTATGGTGTCGATTCTAGCATGATTCTCTAAACCTAAATTTATATTTGACAGCAGTTATCCTTGTCATTCTCTATGCAGAATGAAAAGGAGAGACTGATGTTAAATTTAGTTTTAAGTTTAGAGAATCATGCCAGAATTGGCACCATTGTCGTCGTAAATAGAGAGGTGGCATACTAGTTTTTAACCTTCTTCAGAAAGGAGGAGATTCTCAATGCAGTCGGTATGTTTTTCTATGGATGTACACCACTGATTACTCCGAGATTCATCTTTTGTTCTTTAAGAGATACTTGCCGTTTGGTAACATAAAAAAAAAATGACTCTAAATTTTTTATTTTAGTGAGCATTTTTGATTATTGTGTACGTGGACGATGCAATTTTCACTAAAATGTATGCAACTAACATTTTATACAAAAAATAAAACCGACTATAAATTTAAGCCAATAGTTAGAGATACTACAACTGATTGAGAAATTGCGGCGGCGGCAGGGGCAATCTAAGTACCAAGGGTAGTCTCGCGCTCCTGCCGCCCTGTCGCAGGGCCAATTCAGAAAATGGTCCCTGCTTGCCTAATTGCCTACACACATCACAATCAACCCTTAATTGCCTTTAAAGGTCATCCCCTCTTATACCGTAGATTGCCCCTGCGGCAGGGATAACAGTAGCCCGCTTAAGCATGTGAACAGTATATACTTACATGCTTAGATTAAAACAAAAAGGGTAGATACGGTACGCTCATACTTGCATCAAACAAAAACTGATCCCACGGCAGCGCGATCGGGACGGCGAAATCCGCGTCACTGCATTACCGACCCGAACGAATCAGCACGTTAAGTTTCAACGGCAGCGCGAACGAGACGGCGAGAACCGCGTCACTGCACTACCGACCAACCACGCGACCAGTACTCGACGTCACTACCGAATAAGATTCAAAACAAACAGCAATTTTTATGAAAAAATATATTTATAGTACTTACGAATGAAAAGTGATGCCATGGGTTTTATTTTTAGATCTTAAGCAATTTGAGCACTTTTTAAAAACACACTTAGGCATTGTTTTATCATATAAACACAAAATATTAGTAATATTTCTTTTTGGCGTTCACATGTACGTCGTTTGCATGTCAAGTTGTGACTAAAGCGATTAGGGTCGTGGACCACAATTGGTGCGGATCACTTTTGTGAGGCTAGTGCCGTATGTGTTTAATTTCTCACATGTGTTTAATTTCAAATTATATAAACAGGATCATAGTTCCGCGCAGGTACATAGTTATCGCTGCCTTACATTCTTGCCAATACTTGCCGAGGGTCCTGCGCTAATTTACAAAACACAAAAAAAAAATGTGTGCGTGTACTAGTGTACACACGTAAGAAGTGAAACTTCTTTATGGCCTTATTTTTCGAAAAATGATCTACATGCAACTTTCCAGAAATTGGTTAAATAAAGTTAAATTAGATAAAGTTTAAACAAAAGGATTTTATTATCATAGACATGAATACAAATTACTGCCTATGAAACTGTTATGATTACACGGCTCAGTAATCTAAGGCACATGTTCCACCTCCGACGATGAACGATAAGCGAGTAGAAACTAGAAACGAATTGGCAGTCCTGAGTTAAAATGCACGCGCACGGCTTTTGACAGCCAAGCCAGCTTAACCGAGCGAGTATAGCTGAGCGAGTATCGCTGAGCTAGTATCGCTGAGCGAGTATCGCTGAGCGAGAATCGCTGAGCGAGTATCGCTGGGCGAGTATCGCTGAGCGAGTATCTCTGAGCGAGTATCGCTGAGCGAGTACCGCTGAGCGAGTATCGCTGAGCGAGTATCGCTGAGCGAGTACCGCTGAGCGAGTATCGCTATGCGAGTTTGGCTGAGCGAGTCTTATTCTTATCTTTAATAACTATTGTCACTCAGCTACAAACGAGTAGAGAGAGTTCTCGCCGGCGACAGTGTGATCATTCAGCTATCAACTATTAATATAAAAAAAGATGGCGCGTAACGGAAAAATGTGACGCGTAACCGAAAAATGTGACGGTAAATTTTTTTCCAACGCCGATAAAGAAGTTTCACTTCAATAACAAAAATAAAATCGACTTCGAAATCGAAAATAGAACTAAAAAGTAAAAAAAAAGGACATCTAAGCTTAGGCCGTATACAGAAAGAAAGCCGAAAGCCGATCGGCGCCGATCAGCGCCGATCGGCGCTTATCGGCGCCTAGTGACGCTGATCTTTTTTCTATGGACCGGCCGGATAAGCGCCCATAAGCGCCGACACGCGCTGGTCCGAATAATAAATAATTTGTATTTGAATTATTATCCTTAGATTAAATCAATCTAAGTTATAATCTTTTTATAAATCTAATAACTTTATCTTTTATTAACTAAGCGCTAAAATTATTTGTTTCGTACTTACCGAATGGTGACAACAAGTCTTTCTTCTGGAAGGATTGGTTGTTTATGCCAATTGCCCCAATTTTTCATCAAACGGTTTTTCACTAAATCCAAAACGTAATAAAATGTTTCTTGAATCATTCTTGTATATGTATAAAATCTTTGTTCATCATTTTTTTTTTTTTACAAATAAATGATGGTATTCTCCGAAACGTTTCCTTTCTCTATTTATAGGATGTATAGCTGTTTTTTGCATTTTTAAATAAATATTTTCTAACAAAACCAAATCATCGTCCGATGAGTCCGACATTTTGCTTGATCTGCTTTAATCGGCTTCCTTTATGTAGGAAGGAACGGCGCCGATCGGCTTTCGGCTTTCTTTCTGTATACGGCCTTAGATTAAAACAAAAAGGGTAGATCCGTATCTATGTATAACTACGTACTTTCACGGAACTATGATCCTGTTTATATAATTTGAAATTAAAGACATAGTGGTGTCAATTCTGGCGTGATTCTCTAAACTTAAAACTAAATTTAACATCAGTCTCTCCTTTTCATTCTGTATAGAGAATGACAGGGATGCACTGTTGTCAAATTTAAGTTTAGCTTTAGAGAATTATGCCAGAATCGACATCACTATATTTCATGGGGCTGCGGACATACTTCGAAAATAGAAACTATTACGATCCGGAACTGCGCGCGCAATTGCGCATATCTATTTTTTAAAACGTCATTGTCAGGAAGTCCAATAAAAGTCCGTACTTAATGTTTATTTTTATAATTTTTAGGCGAAATTCTAAGTACATAATGTGACTTGAATTTCCATGCTGCTTACCTTCACATTTTGCACAAAAAAGTGACCTACACAAAGAATATATAAAGATACTACATAAATTGCGAAATATTTTTCAATATTGCGTGTCTTAAGTTTAATATTTAATTAGGTAGTTCAGTTACTTATCTTCTTTGTCTTTACTCTTTAGTTTATTAAATTCCTATTATCATACGTTCGTACTTTGTAGACTTACGTAGATAGTAACTAATAGTAGTTTCTACTTTCTTGACGTAAGCCATGTCACATCCAGAACTGTCCAGAAGTGACTTCAAAACTATTTAAGTAACTAATTATTTGTTTCAGTAAGCTATGGATGGCAATGTAATAAAGCAAGAAAGTCCTACTACAGAGGCTGAGCAAGTGCCGTGCTTGCTTGAAGATACAGATATATTTGAACAAACTGAGACGCCAGATGTTATAAGACTTTCTCCAGTGCAAATACAGCAGGAGTATTTTGAGAATTTATCAGATTGTGATTGGGTTAAGTAAGTACTTAATTACATTGCTTAAGTCCACTTTGTCATGTAAATCAACAAAACAAATGTTAATGGAGCTTGTTATGAAATCAAAGAAGACCTACAAGTAACATCTGCTACTTTTTGTCTCGAAATATAACTTGTAGGGGGTGACACAGAAAATGTTGTATTTGGAAACTAATTATTCTATGAAGTAGTCCAGTATAACATAACTGTCTTCTCTGTATATGTTAATTTAAATTTCTATCATCACAGTATCTTTATTACTATCTTCTCTGTGAATGTCAATTTCAATTAGTATAAGTGCACAAGAGCTTTACATAGTTTGAAATTGTTACAGATATGAGGAAAGTAATAGGAATTACTTACTACAAAATGTAGCATTTGCTCTATTTGGTGGCCCTAGCTATGAAGGTGAACTAACTGATCTGCTCAGTTCACAAAATGCCCACTTGGAAGGCTATACATCACGGCAAAGAGCACAAGTAATGAAAGTATATGAAAAATTGTGCGACCAAAGTATGTATTATAGTCTGCATAAATTATATTTATTGCATTATGTAACATGTAAAAATATCACATGAGTTTTGTTTGGTTGAAGAGACAGATAGAAGGATTATCTGTAGCTTAACAAGGGTTTATCTATAAATTGCTATAAAACACATTTTTGGTCTTTCCCTTAAAACCATTGTTTTATATGACAATTAGTAATAATTATTAGATTTTGCCATTATACTAGTGGCCCCAGGGGACCTCTAGTTGTGACATGTAATAGTTAGACATATGGTATTCCAGACTTTTTGTTAGAAATTGGTATCCTCTATAAAATTTTAATACATCACTTTGCTCTATTGTCAATGACTTCCGCAGCAATATAAGGCTACTTTTTGGTATTTTTACACATGTTGGGTTACATTATAGAAGTTTTATACGGAACCCTAACTTTTTTGAAAATACATTATAGCCTATATTAATCAGTGTTAATGTAGCATTCAAATGGTGAAAGAATTTTTAAAAACCGTCTAGTACTTTTTGAGCCAATTCATTACAAACATACTTACATACAAATCTTTCCTTTTTATAATATTAATATAGATTGTTAACTCAATCTGTCTTATTCCAAAAGGAGAAATAAAGTTAGTCTTGGTATACACCTAATGTTGTCCCTGTCTTCTTTTTAGCAAACAGAAAAAGTGACAGCATCCATTTTATTTCTGGTTTTACTTTAGTCTATGTTTTGTAATAAGGTGGAATTAGTTTAATAAAGTACAGTGTAATAAAACCAAATTTTGCCAATAATACAAAATAATATAGCATTTCAAAAAAGAATCCTTTTGAGCCTTGGTAAATAAGAACATTGAAATATATTTACAGGTAAATATTCACAGAACAATGAAGATATTGTTATGTCAGTACTGTTAGTTGTATGTGCCAAACCAAAACCCGTAAAATTTTACCAATTGCAACCGTCTGACTACTGGATAGATTTACATCAAAGAAATGACATAGATATTTGGTGCACTGCTGTGTTTAGAGTAAGGAAATGTATACCCACACTGGAAGGTTGTAAGTAAACAAATTTATTTTATTAATCAACCTAGGCTCAATTTAATCAAAGTATAATTAAAGTAAGTAGGTAAATAATACCTACAGTAGAACCCCGACTATCCAAAGCAGATTAACTGAATCACCAATTGTCCAAATCAGTCCTAAGCGTGATTTTAAAAATTATTACCAAGTTATTTTTGTTTTGTTACAACTCACTGGAGAACTCACTGGAGTCCAAATATATTTCAACTGTTATGGTTGAAAGCTAGAGGCAAGACACTACATGTTTGAGTGGCGCATTTTTTTTATATGTATTTAGTATTGTAGAACTGTGTTTGTTAAACTTATAAGGTTTATTCTATGTGTGACAGTTTGTTATTACCAATCTATGTCCGATTATCCGAATCGACCCCGGTCCCAATTAATTCTGATAATCAGCGTTCTACTGTATATGTTTTTAAGAGTGATTGATAAGGAAATATATAGAAATGTATTCCATGAACATAGTAAAAGAAAGACTATATTAAATATCTAAAGCAGATTCAGAAACTTGCAAGCAGTAGGCTGTACTAGACATTGTCTTTCACAGACTTCAAATAGGAGGTCTCAATTTGCTATGTATTTTTTTATCATACATAATCTTAAGGCAAAACCAATAAAATATGGTTTGATAGAAACTTTGTGATGTAAAGAAGTTTTAGAAATTCAATTAAGGTCAACCTCCATAACATAAACTTAAGATTTAGATATATCTTTAGATAACAACATTTCTTGATAAGACTGAAGTATTGGAAAGTCTACAATCACTGTCTTAATGATTTCTTTGAGTAGTTATTAAGATTTTACAAATTTATACACTGGTAATTTTGATGTGCTATATCAAAGGTGGTTTTTGTATCCATAGATAAATTTCATCCATCTAATTAAATTATTATTTTCCACTCTACGAATATAAAATATCAACACAGAATGAACAAGAGAGACTGATATTAAATTTAGTTTTAAGTTAGAGAATCATGCCAGAATCGATATCAATACATAATTAATATATTGTTTGTGATTTCAATTTTCCAGCAAAGTCTTGTCGAGTATACATAGATGAAAATGCTAGAGTTTATCATGATTGGGAATCATTTCTCACCAACAATACTCTGCCTAAATGTGTTATCATTGTGCCTGAAAATGGGGAGTATAGTGGAAGTATTATTGAGGTGAGATTTGAAAGACGCTTCTAAATATAAAGAAAATTTTATTACAATTTTTTTCTTAAGACTTATAATTCTAGCAGTTCAATTCTTAATACAACAATATAATGATAAACATTTTTAATAAGTATATTGGTTTTTGATCTTGATATGTGACTTGCAATTTTGTTTATTGATATAAAATAGGGTGAAGAAGCGTTTGCCGTTAAGCTGACAGTGGCGCCATCGCCGACACTAGGTTTAAAGGCGCGCGTGTTGAGTTCTGTCGATACTGCAAGTACTTTGGCGTCTATTAGCGCTATTGGTGTTCTTGGTGTGGCAGCGTTCACACCAGTGGGTCCGGCGGTTTTAGCTGGGGCGGCGGTGGCCACAGTGGCCACAGGATTGTATGGCCTTGTAAGGTCATCCCTTCATTTACATGATAGAAGTGTACATGAACAGGTGAGTGTTAAACTGTAACTCAGAGACGATTAATAATATTTTTTTTATTTGCAATCAAATAGTTTGTACAGAGCATTGTAATAAATGCATTAGTCAGACGAATAAAACTAATTCCATTTTTTAATTCAATGTCAAAGTAAGGCAACACATAATACGTGTTGTTTTACTGTATTGAGTTTTCTGCCGGACAAAATATGTAGATCGCTTACAACTACATCAAGTAACGCATACGAGGGATTAAAAGTAAATACCATGTAGACAAAGTCCCTAGCACAACCGAGGACGCTAATGTATCGGACTGACTCTGACTGGATTAATTAAGTACAGGGTGCCTCATGGGCAGCATCTCAAGCAGGAAATTTTAGTCCTTGTTGCATGCTCAATAAAGGGATGAACCCAATATTCTCTTTCAATCGTCTTCTCTGTCTCTTAAAATTCATATTAATTCATACTAGCGCCCAACAACTTCGTCCGAGTTAACTTTGGGTTTTCAGGAACAGGAACCTAAAATTTTTTGGGGTAAAAAGTACCCTGTGTCTCAAATTCCGTTCAACCGTTTTTGAGTGATTGAGTAATAAACATACAAACTTTCACATTAATAATATTAGTAGGCCAACACAAAATAATATTAGTAGGCAAACAAAAATAACGTTATTTCAGAATTTTCTCCCCAGCGTGGGCTTCTTTAAATTTTCGGGCAACAAATGTTCGCACACTGTGTGCGTTGAGTCCGTGGAAAGAATTTCAGAGGACATTTTTTCATGATTCAGGGATGTTATAATAGTGAATAAAGGGATATTAATAAATTTTAATCAAACTTAATTTGTTTATTGCTAACGCCTATTCTCTGTGAAGCAGAACATTCCTTTAGTTGTGTGTTTCAATTCTTTATTGTTTCATGTGGTAAATAAAAGTTCTTACGATTTAGTTTCAGATCCAAACATGAACCCTGTAAGGGCGCTACTATATCAATACACAAAAAATAAATAAAATACACATAATTATAATCAATCACAGTAAAATTTTAGATTACAAGTACGATACCTTTCATCGAAAACTCTTGTATACTATAGAAGGTTTTATTCAAAATATTGTTTTAAAAATGTGTAAAAAAAATGTTTGCGTTTCGTTCTACAGTTATATATTTAGGTAATATATTATAAATTTTAATTGCGTTGAAATTGTGAAATTACTAATTTACAGTCTATTAGCCCAACTGATGCTGAAGCAAGAGGTAGTTGGTTGAATATCGCAGCGTCCAGTGTCGGATTGGCGGCGGGAGCTGCGAGCAACTTGCTGTCTCGTTCTGCCGCCGCAGGCACCAATTTGACAAAGGTGAGTCCAATATCATCACAAATCACAAAAAATATCATCTCAGGAGATCGATGGTGCAAGTGGTTAGCGCGTTTGGCTGCGATTGTGGAAGATAAGTAACTATCGCAGTGGTCGGTCATTAGACGGGTGACTAATAATTTACTGTCTCGATTTCCCTCCATGCTTCGGAAGGAACGTTTAGCCTTTGGTCCCGGCTGCATCTGCAGTCATTAGCACCTACCAATCCGCACTGGGCCCGCGTGGTGGGTCATGGCCGTGATCTCCCTGTTCCATCCATAGGGAAGGCCTGTGCCCCAGCAGTGGGGATATTTATAGGCTGATAATGATGATGAAATCATCTCAGTTTTATCACAAAGTACGCAACAGTGTGTTTAAGGCGTGAGAAATAATAGAAAGGAGAATGGTCATTTTACTTTGGGAGTTGGGCTAAGTTTTTTTCATTGCGTCTTATTGGAATAAGTGTACAACAATAGGGAATCAGGTGTATATTGCGTAGGAAAAATATCATTAGAAACTTAAGTGGTGGTTTAAAGAAAATATTAAATTACGTAAGCATTTTAAGGTTATGTCATATTTAGATTCGATTAAATTCGATATTTATACCATACTTAATTATTACTATGTATACTACTTTAAACTGTATTTAATTAGGTTGTGACCTTTTGTCTTCTATTTTGGACTGGGAGTGAAACAAAAATTGAATGCACTTCGTAAAATCTTATCAACGGGCAGCGTATATTTGTAAACTGTTGCGTTGGTGAGCTGCTATCTATCTCTATTTATTCCAAACATCTCAGATTCAATAAATGTGGCGTTGTTGAGGTGCGGTTATATTAGATGCTCTGTTAACCCAACAATGGATATAATATTATTTAAGGTTTAGGAATCAAAAATAAATAAGGCAAAATATTTTAATAATGATAATCATTTATTGATAACACATTTATCCAAATCGACATTATTAATGTGATATTTTTATTTTATATTTTTGGGGTTATGCCGTATCCAGTGGAACTGTAGTGACTTCGCCTAAAATATCTTTTGTAACTCGCCACCATGTCCTGTTGAGTTTGAAATATCCAGTTAAAGCTCTGCTAAGTTCAATTAACACAGCAGTTTATACATTAAGCGTGCTCTAATCCTGGTTTATATATTGCCTTTTTTAAAAAAAAGTGAAGAATTGACTTATATACCCTCTTCAAATACCTCATCTAAAAATGTAGCTGGAGCATGTGTATCGTTAAATCGCCCCCAGTTAAGGTACCAAACTACCGTCATTACGTGTGCGCAACATCCTACTGTCCTTTTGCCTACAATACAACTGCAGCAATAGCCAACTAAACAACTTAGTGAGTTGGCTATATTGGTGTCACGGCTGACTAAGATGTAAACAAAATAGGTGCGTCCACCAACGTGTCTAGACTTAATACGTCCTCTAAGCAGATAATTGTTTAAACCTAATACAAGGGGAACATCTTCATCTATTTCTGTATTTATTTCTATGGAATATATCCCAGACGATCGAATATGTTCCCCATAATATGATCGCGCCTGCTTTAACTGATAAGTGCCTAAAGCAAAGCGTTTTAAATCAGTGATGCTTAAACTGGGAAAGGTTTCCAAGTGAGGATGATTGCCATCAATTGCAGAAAACGTTGCACGTCTTCTGTTAAGATTTTGAGTTTCTACAAACTCGGACAAATGATTGGACTCATTAAGCCGATTTTGAGCAATAGCTACATACTCGCTTGCTTCTGGAGGATCCTGTATTAAGGGATGAAACTTATTTACAGAGCACATGCAATTCTTAAATCATCTGGCATCAAACTGTACACCAGTAAAATCTTGCAGATTTGATGTTAAATCACTCCAACGCCCATTATTCAAGTGATGTTGACATATTCTACAACATGTGGGAACATAGAATTTATTATGTATTAATAACATTTTTCTTATTACTCTGGGTACTAATAAACGTTGTTGTTCCCGGCATCCTGAAAACAGACAACTCGATGAAGTGGCTACAGCACGCTTATATACTGATGACTGTATCTTAGGTATAACAGGTCTTGAAGGCTGAACAGGTAATAGACCAGCGGGAAATGGTGGTGGTACTGGGATCACTGGTACAGACTCTGTTGGTTCTACATCAATTTGTTCAATTGATGACCGATTCGCATCATGTAACTGTTGCCTTTGCACTTCCCTATTAGCTGCTCGCCAACAGGCAGCACAAACTCTTGAAATTCTTGACACCTATAAAAAAAAGATAAGTGAACTTGAATTTAATGAAAAACCATCTACAACTTTTTTATGCAATAGAAATATATTTCTTATAATAATAATAATAAATCATTTATCTGACAAGACATGGTAAATTATACAGATCTCAAAAATATAACCAACATGACCTGTCGCTTTTATCGACGTGCAAATATTTATAGGTAGTTGCAGTATTATCCAGAACTCAATCTTTAAAAACTATATATATTATTTATATACCATAGTCATGATTGAGTTAGTTATTATTTAATCAATTTCATTAATATACTACATGACAATTGTGCAATGTAAAAAAAAATGTCATAGTCATGTTTCAGTTAGTATTGAAATCAATTTTAATAATTTATTATTGATAATAATATCTTATACCATACCTGATGTGCTGGAGTCCATCTAAGAATAATATTTCTTTCTGGACAGTGTAGTGAAACCCTGTACGATCGACTTCTTAATATGGAATTTCCACAACCAAAACAGACTTGTTGATGGCCATATTGTGGTGCAGGTACTTCTTCGGTGGTGTCACTAGCTTGTAGTAGCATAAAACATTCGTTGCACACTATGCCCCCATTCAATATCTATAACAAGTCAAAAATATTTATATTTATTTGAACATGTGAATGAAATTAAAACATTATCTCACGGTTGCGGTTGTATAACGATATATTTTTAGTAATATAAGTAAATAATTACTTACAGAATCAGGTGCGATCCATGAGCTTAAAACATTAAGCATTGAATTGGATAGCATGTCCAAAGAATGTACTGGCTGTCGTCGTGGCACTGATATACAACAGTTAATACAACGTCGTTGCAGACTGCCTGCGTTTTCTTGTGTAACACCAGATGCCATTGTAAACAAAAATAATTACAATAAACTAAGAGTCCAAATATCTCTGTCAGAATCACTAAAGGTAACTTAACACGAAATCAACGAGTCCAATTCTCTCTTTCCCAAAAAAACAGTTATTAACGGAGGATTACTCAACTCAACATTAAAACTATTCTGCCACAATAGACCACCGAAAACACAAATTCAATTCAAAATTGAAAACTGTACATATGTAGTTAGTCACTCGGAACAAACAACAAACAAGTTGACAGCTACCTACTTCACTTGCCTATGGTATATATTTCGATTAGATTCTATAGGAATTGATTCCTAAACAATCGATTAATAAATGTTTTATTTTTCAATGCAAATGCTTAAAATGTTCAAACCATGAGTTAATTTATATATGATTAAGTAATTATATATAACATAACTGATAATTTAAACAAAAATATATTCCCTTTTTTAATATAAGAGTACTGCATATAAAAGTTTTTGTATGCGATCTACTGTTTGATGAACAAAATAGTCCGCAAACAAAAAATCCTCTTTTGCGCAGCCCATTAAGTTCCTTTTAGTTCTTAGATGCAATGAAAGAGAGGAATCCCTGGTAGGTACAGTGAGATAGTCACAACACAGGTCTTACAAATGATAACTTTATGAATTTAATGTTATTTATCATGATATAATATTGGTAAAAATGCTCGTATCCATCATACAAACATTTGCCTTACCGGAATTTGAAACCAGGCCATCTGAATAGGCGATTTGGGGAAAATAATCTATCCATCGATCCATACAAAAATCAAACAACTCGCATCGAAGACCTCAAAATAAAAAATGACTACGAAATAACGGCGGGCGAGGCGAACGGGAGTTGAGTGGGGGATGTAAGCATGAGAAAGCAGTGCACGTGCACATTTTCTTTCTCTCTTCCTCTCATAGCCAAATACGTTCCGTATATCTAAGCACAGTGCAAGCCTATTGTCTGTATCACAGTGTAGGAGCAAGAGCGCGCGCACGCATTTTCTTTCTCTTTTTCTCTTACAGCTAGTAAATAAAAGAAGTGTCACTTCAGTCGTGTGGTCATAAGCACACTCGTTTTTTTATGTTAAGAATATTTAAATAAAGAAATATAATCGTTTTTTTTTCCTACGATAGTATCGACCAGGTGATACAACTTTTATCTATGGTTATTGGTTATTTACTCAGTTTAATATCCATTTATTTATTATTTTAAATATCCGCATAATATTTACATAATAAACACACATATGAAATGATAATTCAGAAGAAGATTTTTGATACATAAATGCGTCAAGCGCAATCTAGACGGATTTGCCCATTCTCCTTTGACATGGCTATTAATATTTCTATTGTTACTTACGCCTTTATAAATACATACTATTATACTTATTTTTACTAAAAACCCACGAAAAAGATAATAGTTTTCTTATCTATTGTCACGTGACTCAAAACGCTTGGAATTGGCAGAGTCTAAAATAACGTCACACGCAAGTAAACTTCCGGTTAAAGTGACATTACATTGTATCGTTTGACGTTTTAATAACAGTCGTGTGACGTCACACACCAGTGACAGAGAAGCGTTATCGAGGCAACTTAAAAATGGAGTTTTTGATTTGGTTATTTTAACTGAAATACACAACAGAATGATGAATATCCACTTTTTACGGACTCCATAAACATTAGTAAATAACGTGAGGTCGTTTCTAAAACTTGTCAAATACCCTATTGCATCCAAACACAGGCCGATAGGGCGAGATGCAACATACACGATATAAATTCATAGTGTTCGACAGATAACCGCAATTTCGCTACCGTGTTTCACGCTAAACGGTTTAGCCGCCTCGGTAAACGGTTAAATCGCCTCGTCAACAAGCACCCTAACGGGTTTAGCCTAAACCCGCTTCGCAGTGGCACATTGTGATTGAATGGTTGAGAAATGAGAAAAAAAAACAAAGAATACATTTCATATAAGTTTATTTTTGCAATACTTGTGGATATACAATATTTTTTATTTTTCCACTGTCTGCGTAGATATAAAGACTATCTGGTTTGCCGATTCGGGAACACGATTATTAATTAAAAAAGATGCACTTCAATAATAAATATGTTTTGTTATTGATTAATCATATATAACTAATATTTTACTTATTTATTTAATTAATTAATATTAAATAAATAATAATTGCAAAAAAATAATATTTTTACTGTCCATCTTTGATATAAATATAATCTCTACTTACGATTTGGTGAATGGCGCAGTTCGATCACAACACTATCACACCAAAAATTCTTGATTTAAGTGAATATTTAATTCAGATTGTATAATAATCAGAATCAGATGCATTTTTTTTGTAAATAAACAATGTAATTGGGAACGAAATTGTTTCTCATGTGACTGCGTCATTACTATTACGGTTGTCAGCGAGTGTTTTCCTCGCTTCTGGCAGATGGCGCGGTCACTGGTACACAGCTGATCGTTAAAAAAACTGTTTTCTCACGGTCGCAAATATGTGACTGATGCAAAAAATAGATAAAAACAATCCTTGATGCGGATTTTATATCATGTTAAAATTTCAACTCAATCGGTGCAGAACTTTTTGAGTTTTTGAAGCGTACACAAACCAACATAACATTTTTATATATATATAGATATAAATGTAGCAGTTTATTTTCTTCAAATAACAGTAACAACTCTTAACTTTTCCAGCTCTTCGTCTTTCGTTTTCTAGTCTAACTTTAGTAGCTCGCACTCTATCGCCATAACATTCGTCTCCTACACGATTACTGGTCGACTGATAGAGAATGCTTATGGCGTTAAGTCTGCCATTTACTGTAATTTTGGTAATAAAGAATAAAATAAATAAATAATCATAATTTTAGACTGGTCAAGCTCTGGCTGTGTCGGTAGAAGTGCTTCGTCACGCCAACATTGTGACGGGTGGCGCTGGCGTCGTGAACAGTCTTCTACACATCATTCTCAAGGTATTATCATTATATTAATATGTGAAATAACCAGGATTGCACTGGATAATTATCATTGATAATAACATGTAACTATGTTAGAAAACACACAACCAGCACTAGGCATTAATACCAAAAAAAAAAATACAGTTTCTAACTCAGATGACGAGGAGGGGTGGGGGTGGCAGGCAATAACATTAATAGTATGATTAAGAATAACACACAATGATTTCATGGATTTTCATATGTGATTTGTATATTAATTTCAAATGTGATTTTATCATACTTAAATGAAAATTATACCTAAAAATACAAACATACTTTCATTTATATGTATACATTATTTACCCATTGCTGGATAATTATCTTAATAATTTGCAAACCTGGCAGGAACGACTTTCGTATTACTTTCTAAGAACCTTTACCTTACATATTGTTGCATTAATAAACAGGGAACTTTTTATTAGCTGCAGTAAAATGACGTTTTGTGGGTTACCGCTTTTTGAAGAAAAATAAATAAGGATGTAGCTAAGTGAGTAAGTGAATCATTCAATAAATGAGTGATCAGTTTGGTTTTATTTTAGAGATTTAATATTGTTGTAATGTTTTTTTATTCTATTATTATTACTTTAGTAAAGGATTGATCTTTTTCAGTGGAAGTTTAAGGACGTACATCCAAAATTAAACAAATTTGTCATAACAATGTTATTTATTAATCAATCATTTTCGGAATCACTATCGCTTCCGGTCACACTAATGACAAATCTGTCTGTCACTTCATCTATAATATGATCGAGGTGGCACATTTTGTCTTCCTCTTTTATAGTGTGAGACACACAGTCACTCCACTTAGTCGGTGTCACTTTGTTGATTCCTTCTTGGAATAAAGTTTTCACTTCTTGCATTTTATATGTTTTATTATTGTTTGCGACGTGCCCCTTTACTTGAGCCCAAACCAACTCGATGTGGTTCAATTCACAGTGATAAGGGGGCAGTCTTAAAAGTCTGATACCTTTTTCAGCAATCTCGTCCACGGCATATTTCTCAGTATGATTTTGTTGTTTTACAATATCTATGAGAGTGGCCTTCACCATATTTGGTTCAAATGTAATATTTTTAGTGGTCAGCCACTCTTGAATTCGTGCTTTCGTCCACGACATCTTTGGGATTGTTTCGATCTTCCTAGAATGATAGGGCGCGTTGTCCATTACGACTACTGCATTCGGCTTGAGTTTGGGTAGAATGCCGTCGAACCACTCCTCGAAACACTCTGCGTTCATTTCATCATGGTAATCTTCTGTACCTTTCTTTGCTTCAAACATAAGAAGTCCGTCGTCCAGGAAGCCTTCTTCTCCGCCTATGTGACTGATTATGAGTCGTTTGCCCTTTTCCTGTGGGATTTTTTAATCCCGTATTTTATACTTCCACCACTCCAGGTTTCTTTTTTGTAGTATGATCTGAAAGAACATAAAATAATCATATGTTTCGACAGCTAAATAAAAGGGGATCAAACATAGAAAACTAATAGTTGCCACTTACCAGCGTTGATCCAGGTCTCGTCCTGATAATATATGTATCTTCCCTCCCTACGATATTGTTTAATTAAACGCAGGTAGCGCTGGCGCCATGATATGATATCTTGTCTGTCAATAAGTACGCCCTTGCGTGTTCGAGTAGCGAATTTGAAATTAAGATGCTTCATAATTTTTCTCAATGTCTCTTTCGAGAAGTTCTGAGTCATCTTTTACAACTTGGAGCACCTAAAAATTATTAACTTATTATTACCTAATTGGTTAAAATTTCACATATTATAGAAAACATATTATACCTAACGAATAATAATAAGATTAGTGATGACAGGTAAACTAACCTTTGCGATGGTTGGTACCTTATTTCTATGACAGAATTGATGTAAAATTCGTCTAATAGCAGTGAATGTGAAATCATCAAGTTTTTCTTTAAATGTAAGTTTTGGGTCAAAGTTTTCGGGAGGTTTTAGTGATTCACAGTCGTTCTCCTTGTGCTCCTTTAAAACGGAATAAACAGTGCGGACGGATATTCCCAAGACTTCAGCCACCTTGTTAATGCGTCAACACTTGTTTTTGGAACTTAAATGTTTGATTCTGTAGATTTCTCTTCAAACACATATTTCGTTTCTGCCCCAAAATTTCTCGGTTGCACTTAGGCTACACGTGGCCTTATGTTCTTAGGAGATAAAAATGTATCTCCATCTTGTGATGTGCTCAACTGAGCATCCATGTCTTCGATGTAACAAACGAAAAAAGCTGACACGATTAACAAAAATAAGTAGGTAACGAAAAACAAACACAACGTAACAAAAATTTAACAATAAAGATAACTAAAACAACTCGCAGTGGGCAAAGCAGTTATTCGTGCACTCAAAATAGAAGTTAGAAGCCGAATGAGCGAATGACAAATAAAATAAAATAGCGGACAAGCGTCATCGTAGCACCGTAACTAAAAACCAGCACCAACTTGAGATTTTATACAGCCTTTTATTTATATGAATAATAAATAGAATTAAGTATGATCATTATGAGTTACTTATGGAACGATTAGATTTTCTGTGAACCTAAGCACACCCCTATTGAAATTAGGCTGTCAACATTATTTTACATAATGACATTTTGAAACGTCATTTTACTGCAGCTAATAAAAAGTCGAAGTTTACAAATTTTGCTATTTTTGGACATCCATCAATTAATCAATGGTGGCACTTGAAAAATTTGTAATTGATTTACTTGTTTGAATCTTTATTTATATAGTACACACATAGTTTCCTATTTCATTGAAATTCAAGTTACAATTGTAATTTTTGGTTGTTAATAACTTCAAAACAGTTTTAAACGGATATTAAGATTAAACAGATATTAAGATTGTTACGAAAAAAAAAACAATTTTTTTGTAACAATCTTAATATCTGTTTATACATCACATTCCATTTCACCAGTTGTTCCATTTTCGCCAAAAGTATATAGTAGTAACAAAAATCCAGAGTTATTACAATGTTTTACATGTTGGTATCTGTTTTTGGTTTGTACACCCAGTATGTATGCCAAACTCAAACCTCCATATTAATCAACAAAAAATGAGCTCGGATTAGTTACTCTGTTTTTTTTCTGTCTTCATTGAATTATTACAAATGGCACTTGAGAATCACGGTGTAACCTAAATCTAAACCACTAGTCTAACCTAAATTTCGTTTATTGATAAGGTGTAATGAAATAATGCCAAAATATGTTTCCCATTTTATAGTACCGTGACCACGGCGAGAAGCCAACCAAACTCGAACTGTTCCAATTCACTGCGGCTACGCTTTTCTTCTGCCACGCCGTCATGTCCAATCGTACGGCCCAGTCCATCATAGAGGATGCTCAAGCAAAAACTATCAACGAGTATAGATCCAATTTGAGAAGCAACAGACATAGGTGAGTTCATTTCAGAGCTGATTCAATCCTGCTGTCCATCTACCGGAGGTCATAAATATAAAGCGTGCGCGCGCACATTTTCTTTCTCTCTTTCTCTTATAGCTAGTAAATGATTTATGTATATCTACATAAATGTATATATTGTACACACACATATTACACACACACACACATATATATATATATATATATATATATACATACAGATGAAGCAAAAAAAGTTTCACTTCAGTCGTATGGTCATAAGCACACTCGTTTTTTTACGTTTTACTTACTAAGTGAAACCGTTTGATCATTTGAACGAGGGTGCTCATACTGCCTGGTCTGCTGATATGATGAACTTTTAGTAGTTTTGCTTCTCAGTTTCTTTGTTAATAAAACTTTAATATATTATCTGACTTATTGGTTCCTTGTAAGTCTTGGTTGAGTTCAATGCTAAGAAAACGCAGGTCTGCGCTTTAACGGCACAAACGTCGTCATTCTTTTCCTTTCCTTCTCTTCAGGGCACAACACTGAAGCTAGAGAGCAATATCAGCATGCTCGGTATGGAAAATCGCTGTGACTTGAATTCAAAGAAATATAAAAATAGAGGTATAAGAATAGAGTAGGGGAGGTATAACCTACGTCTACTACAAGTGGAAGTGTCCCTCTAATAGAAGGAGAAAGAAGATGAGAGACCGCTAACTTCCTCTCTCTAATCGCGCATGCGCATTGGCAACCGTAAGCATCTTACTATTTCGATGTGATGCCATTGGATGCCATGCGTCACAAGAGAGAGAGAGAGAGAGAGAGATAGCTAGCGGTCTCTCATCTTCTTTCTCTTTCTACTAGGCGGATACTTTTAGAGCCGCCTTCCCCACTCTATTCTTATACCTCTATGAATCCGCATCATAGGCGATGAGAATCGAGCCTCTACAATAGGATATTTGAGAAGTTTTAGAAAACGATCTCACGTTATTTACTAATGTTTGTGAAGTCCATAAAAAGTTGATATTTTTAATTCTGTTATGTTATTCACAATAAAACTAAATTAAAAAATTCAATTTTCAAGTTGCCGCGAAAATGTTTCTCTGGACATTACGGCGTCTCACTAGTATGTGACGTCACACGACTGTCATTAAAACTTCATACGATACAAAGTAATGTCACTTTGGCCGGAAGTTTACGAGCGCGTGACGTCATTTTAGTCTTGCTCTCAATCCCAGGCGTTTCCGGTCCCGTGACCATGGAGCAAAAAAACATTTGTATTTAATCATTTTATTGTAAAGTTTTTAATTATTTGTATGTATTAGAATAGTAAAATCGCTGCTAATATTCATATTAAACACAGATGCCATCAATTGGTACATTATTTTTCATATTGTCGAATAGCCTATTACGCCGTGACGTGGCGTCGTTAAGCGCGTTCTATCGTCTATACCACGGCGACTGTTCTGAGGAATTATTCTCCCCTATTCCACCTTCCCCTTTCCTTCAGAGAACCACGCGCGCTGGCCTACTTTGTTACCGACTAACTGGGGCCACTATTCCAACGTGAGCAAAGAAATATGGTGACTCAATTTTTCCCTCCCTCCTACAACCTGGGATCCTTTATAAGAGGCGTGAGAAAGCAACATGCAGGTCGGCAGGGTCAGGATGGCTGGTGTGGCAGGTAGAACTGCTATACCAGCTATCTTTGCGTCTGGACTCCACAGTCACCTAACATCAGGTGGGGCGGAGTAAGGATGCAAAGTCTTTTGAAATATTGATATTTATATCGATATTTATATCGATATCGATATTATCGATATCAGTGAATTTTAAATATCGATATAAATATCGATATTTTGGTCTCGATATTATCGATATTCCGACATATCGTTGCAACCCTAGGGTGGAGTCATCTACCTATCTCGAAAAACAGTGTCCATTATAAAACTGTTTGAACATTTAAGAAGCAACATAAAAAAAAAATCAAACCCAACTATTTCTATCAGCATATTAGTTATGAGCATCAAAATCAACAGAGGAATCACAAATATATACATAATTATAATATAACAACAAGACACTAAACAAACAGATATCTATCTTATGTTCGTTCTGGGTATCAAATGAGATATTATTTATAAGGATCACTTTTATTATCACAAGTACATAAAATGTAAGAGTGTACCTTGTTGATGTAGTAACAGTAGTTTATTTATGAACTACACCTTAACATTTATAATGTTTGCAGCATTGGTGGTTATAACCACCCATGCTGCTCCAGCTGATTCATTGAAACACTCTCCCGTCATCATAATTTTTTTGGACAAATTATTTCCTAAACTCATTTGGCCTATAATTAAATTTACTTCGGAAAGTATCTGATTATTCGTAATATTTTCGGGAGAGTCCTTACATTGTTAAGTATTAACACTTTGTTTTTATCATCGTTTTATCTTCGTTTTTATCATCTTCATTAAAAAACACTATATAAATATTTCAAATGTGTACCTTTTACAATTCATGAAAATAGATATTTGACAAACGGACGGACTTACTTAAATAAGTTACGTTGTCATCTTTTGAAAACGAAACTTCAAAATAAGAATGAACAATATCTTTAGTCACCCCACTGACGGCTAAATACAATCTATCTACTTTTTTATCCATAGGTCAATTTACCAATTAGTCAAGCCCTAGCATTACCAAACAAATACAAATTTTATTTAATATAATCTTGTAAACAACTTTTGGCTGTGAAACAACACAATAATAAACAAATAATACATTTCTTCACCGTAAAACCTAAATAATAAACTGAATTATATTGGTATTTGATCAAACTATATTTTGTGAAATGAAACATTCTACCAAGATGAATGATATTTACCTACATGTGAAATGAATAATTATTTGGGTTATCTGTTTTGGACGCATCACAATATCTTAGCGCCACCATTTCTAAAAGGTAATATCACTTTCCTTTCTCCATTAATATAGATTTCGTCAGTTACATAAACACAATACACTTTGACAATGCTTTTACAGGATGAACCTGGCTCTTACTGAAAATTTATCGGAGCAAAGGTACATCATTTTTCGTCATTTTTCTATCTTGTAGGATTGTCGTAAGGGGGATGAAATCTCTTCTTCGCTCTGTCAATCTTTAAATACTATTCCTATGGTTGAAACTCAACTGTTATCGCCTTGAAAGAAAACTGTCTCTGCGCGGAGCCGAGCGCCCTTATTCGCATTCCAGAGAAATCCAGTTCAGTTGAGAGTTCCCTAGTGCATATACGCAGTGAGCATGATTTGCAAACAAGTTGGCAGCTGTCATTGCATTTTCATCCTTACGCCTCACTGCTAAGGCTCATATTCAAATGTATTGCAACGCACGCTTGCGTCTTTGTATTTGGTTACTATTCGGTATTCGGCCTATTCGGCTGCTTTTATTATATTCGGCCGAATACCGAATATCTACATATTATTCGGCCGAATACCGAATACTTAAATAATATATTTTGTCATAGAGAAATAATTGGTAAAATTAAAATCAATTGATTACGTATGTATTCATATTTTCATTTCTGTCATATAATTATTTAAGTAGTCATTGGTACATAACACATGTACATAATCATCTTCTGAATTGGAAAAATGGAGGATTCTGTGTATTTGAATTATTGTGGTAATCAAAATTTAGAAGGGTAAGGTTCTCATTTCTTTTATAATCATTTATTGAGTAGTCATTGGTACATAAAACAGATACATAATTTAATCATTTTCTGTTACATAATAATGGATGAATGGTTACATAATAGCAATAATTTAAAGTTTACGCGCCGTTTTTGGCCATATCTCAAAAGTTGGTTTTGTCATTTAGCCGCATTTTAGCTTGAGGACGGCAGAATAGAACAAAACAAAGGAGCGCGAAACAATCACGTCTGTACAAGTTTTTGGCGCTAAAATCCAGCCGAATACTTTGACCTAATATTCGGCATTCGGCTATTCGATCAGGGGCCTCGCCGAATATTCGGTATTCGGTATATTGCCGAATATACTATTCGTTGCAAGTCTAATTTAGGTAGTTCAAGTCGCGAGTATGCCGAGCGACAGCCGCGGCGTTTTGGGTAAATGTGTTTCCATCTGTACCCCTAGCACGAACCAATATCGAATTCGTATCGTTTGCGAGTCCATAATGTCATTGTCAAATATGTACTGATTTTTAGTTCTCGTAACGTACTTTGTGCCGCTGCTGTTCAAGTTTCCATACAAAATTTGACATTGACATTTCGGTTTGCAAAGTATTCGAATTCGATATTGGTTCGTGCTAGGGGTACTGTTCATGACAATGTCAAGAACCGACAAATGACTCCACTCCACCTGCTATAAAGCACGTGACGGTGGCCTCCGGACGCGAAAATAGCTAGTGCTGTACCCTTAGCACTTTTTTTTTGTATGGAAGATTTTTAATTTTCGTTCCGTCCGTTGTGGCGCTGCCGCTATTCAAATTTGCACACAAAACTTCTTGACATTTGACGCGTATCGAGATCGAATTCAACTATTCGATTTCGATAATGGTTGGCCAGTCATCTTCACCTTGTCGACGTGCAAAGTGCATCTACACGCCTCTTTTAAAGGTCGGGATTGTAAGAAGGAGGGAACACGTGGGCTCGCAAAGCATTCCATATGCGGATAGTACGACAAAGAAACGAGTCACCTCTTCATATCTATTTATCCGTGAGAATATGAAAATGCACTTTATCCAAATTTGACTCATAAGATCTTTATTTTTGAATCGTCTTTTATTTCGTTGTCGTATATCTTAGGGCGCTTTCAATTTATGCGTTTCTTGACGGCCTGCTGCGGTGCCGAAGCGGTGCGTTTGTCGTACAGCGTACGGACGATCCTTTTTTTTTATACAAAACGCGCGGTGCGGCAACAGTCCTGTTGTCGAGCGTTCGCGGTACCGGCGCCGCACTGTTGCCGCACCGCGCGTTTTGTATGAAAAACACTGATGTTAAATTTAGTTTTAAATTTAGAGATACATTCCATAATCGACACCAATTTATGTTCAAACAAAGTGTTTGGTTTATTTGTCGCTCATAATATTTTGAGGAACTCGATAGTGCAAAATGTTCGCGCGTTCGGTCTGCGATCGTAGTTGTTAAGCAACTTTCGCAATGGATATTGGATAGGTGACCAAAAACTTATTATCTCGAGCGCTTTCGTGCTTCAGAAGGCACGTCAAGCCGTTGATCCAGCCTGCATAAGCAATCGTTAGCACCCACCAATGGGCTGTGGGCACTTGGCCGGTGTGGTGGGTCATGTCCGTTCTCCCTATGCCTTTAGTAGGGATTTAACTTACAGCCTTAAGGCTTATTTACGCCGAAGCAACAACATGCGACAGTGTCGCATGCTACATATTGGGGCCTGGGTCATCTGGTGGCATGCTTCAAATTAAAAACATCTTGCGGTACTTGCGACATGCGGCATTCTATTTTACGCCGAGGCAACATCGTACCAAGATCATTTCGAAGAACTGTGCATGTGGTATAAAATAATAAATTATTGTACTGTTTTGGTTTACCTACTTCATAGATCGAAGGTAGAATATGGCTGATCAATTAACTATTGTAGCAGCTTATTTAGTGTCACACCACCACTCTGTGACCGATAATTTACTTCTCACTTATAAAACAAAATATAATCATAACAAACTAGGATACGTTCCAAACTTACGCTGCAGGCGTAACAGATGCCTTTGACATAAGTTTCATACATTTTATGTCAAAATATAAACGTCAGGGTAAAAAGTTAAGCGTACGAACGTAGCCCTGTTTCGTCGTACCAAAAATGTCGCACGTAATTCAAAGTGATCTGATACACGCTGCGGCAATGTGCCACAAATGAACGTGTGTGTGTGTGTGACGAAATGTATGGCCATGGCGCACGATTCCTGCCACAATGTGCGACATTTTTAAATATTGATGCTTGCGGCCTTGTGGCATGCATGATGCACAGTGTTGCCCGGCGTAAATCTGCCTTTATAATTTTTTTTTTCATATTAAGGTAATTTATAAAAAGAATACAAACTTTTAAATGACCTATGACTATTATGATAAAATTACATACCAAATATGTTTTTCATCATTTAACTTTGCTTTGTCATAGATAGTGCGCCCTTTTAATGATTTCTTTTCTTTGTATTCCGTTTCTGTTATATTTTTTTATAGAATAGAATAGAATATATTTTATTAGCCCTCTTAATACAGATATTACACATATACAGACACAAATTCAAAAAACACAGGGCTAACCAGGACTCTGCCTCAGCATTAGCTGATGCGACATTGTGTCGCACCAGCGCTGTTATTCTGGCAGAGCCTGTTTAGTGACACAAAAAAAGACATGTTATTTTTTTCTTTTATTACTTGAAAGGATGTATGGACTTAGCATCCTTTGCCTTCAAGTAACAAAAAATAAAAATAAGTAGAAGTCAATCAAAACAGCAAAAAACTTAATATGAAACAGTAAGCAAAGCAATACAAAAATAAAATGAAGCAATTCAATTAATTTTAGCCTAAAAATTCATTTACAATTAAAAATTTACATGACTGATAATGCAACCGCCACCCAAAAATAGCAGTTTTATCATATAAGTATTGATATAAAGCATGAGTACCTATTGATGAAAATAAAATACACTTCTGGACACATCTATTGGCCCACCTTAGAGTTTAGGTTTCGATGGCCCCTACCGAAATATGATTGCTAGATTGAACAAAAACTGTTGATGCAGTTTTAAACCTGATACATTTTACCATCTTTTTCGATCGTATTGTTGTAAATTTGAATTCAGAATACCATACGACATGGAGCTACGCCTAACAAGTCGGATATGCGCCTTGTTAAACGCTGAAATTGATTTTTGAATAAAAAACATGTTTTATCAAATAAAGGTTTAATTTAATAACGCGTGTTGCCTCCTTGGGCATCTACCACATCTCTCATACAATTAGGCATAGAGTTTATCAACCGCTCTATGAAATTTTAAGGGATCATCTCCCATTCCCCTTCTATGGCAGTTTTCAACTCCTGCATCGTCTGGGCAACTGGCTGACGAGCCCTAACACGTCTTTTTAGCTCGTCCCACATGTGCTCAATGGGGTTCATGTCTGGGCTTCTGGCTGGCCAGTCCATAACTGTGATGTTCACATCCCGAAGATATTCCCTGACGATGCCGGCCGCATGGGCTCTTGCATTATCATGCATAAAAAGGAAATTTGGGCCCACATAGTCCGCGTATGGTATCACGTGAGGTTCTAAGCACTCACGAATGTACCTTTCAGCATTTAATGTTGGCAGCCGTGGTCCTGTAACAACCTCAAGTTGAGTTTTGCCGCTCGCGGATATACCGCCCCAGACAGTCCATGAGCCACCGCCATAAGCAACCCTCTCTTCAAAGCAGCATTGTGCGAAACGCTCTCCCTTACATCGGTAGACCTTCTTCCTTCCGTCATTGCCATGTAACACAATTTTAGACTCATCAGAAAAGAGTACACGGCTCCAATCTTGCTGTGTCCAATTTAAATGACTGCGTGCGAAATGAAGGCGCGCTGTTCGGTGGGCTCGCGTTAGTTTGGGCCCATTAGCTGGCTTGTGTGGTAACATATCGCGTTCTTTTAACCTTCTCCGAACAGTTCGAGCGCTCACAGATACTCCGTGGAAGTCGCGAATTTGTTTTTGTATCTCAATGGAGGTAAGGTGACGATTTCTCAAGCTGGTCGTCACGATGAATCGATCCTGCCTTTCAGTTGTGACCCGAGATCGTGGCCTTCCTTGGCGACGAACAAAGCCGCCAGTCTCTAGGTACCTCCGATAAACATTTCGGACCGCAGATCGACTTAAATTAAGTTGAGCACTCACGTTTCTTTGGCTGTGTCCGGCCTGAATAAGTGCCACAGCTTGGGCGGCGACTTCAGGTGAAGTATCCATAGATTATTGATAGAACCTCACCTTAATGTTAAGAATAAGTAATGTTTGTTGCAAAACCAAAGATATCAATCACTTTTTCAAGAATTAAATCCAAGTAAACCAATAAAACCAAGTTTTCTGAGTATTCGATTGTTTGATATCAACAAACAAGCTCCAAATTATCTTTTGTTTCTTTAAATTCTGTGTTCGAAATTCAAAAAAAGACTATTGAATGAAATTGTGAATTTGCCAGGTTCAAAACTGCATAAAAACTTTTTGCTCGACCTAATATAAAATTTTAGCTAGGACCAAACGAAACTGAAAATACAAGGTGGGCCAATAGATGTGTCCAGAAGTGTATATTTACCTATACACTAAACAAATCCTTTGTTTAATAAAGCCGGGTCTCCAGCGCGTGTTTTGTCCTACACAATCAACAAAAACATATCAACATTCAACAATACCGTGTACACAAAACTTTCTTTCACTACACATATTTGTTTGTATCAATTAAGTTTCGTTTTCCGAGCCAGATTGAAGACACGTACATAAATCACCCCCGCGTGGGTTGGGTATTTTCTTATTCGCTATTTTTCTGAAAAGTCTAGTGGGGGCTGCGTTCCAAACCTACGCTCCGAGTGCAACTTTTCACTCTTGACTAAACAAATGTATGAAAATTTTGACAAATTGACATCTGTTGCACTTGGATCGTATGTTTGGAACGCAGTCGTGGGTAATTTGTGTACGACTGCCACGTGTGTAGAGAAACATGTTTCAGAAACAATGTTTAGTGTATGTGTTTTTGTTGAATGTTTTCTAAAAACTTGTGTTGGAGACTCGGCTTAATTTATTTCATTTTACGCTTTACGAATATAAATAATTGCAATGTGCTAAATTTTCACAGAAAAATATTTGACAAACTCAGCGCCGAGTCGAGAAGAGTACAAGGCGCCATTCAAGGCAACACCGAAGTAATTAAAGGCATCAAAAGCATAATAGACAAAGACCAATACTTCGCCGACGTGCTGAGAATAAACAAAGACGTGAACCAACACAAGTTGAGGATTTCCATGACATCTGACGGGCACGTGAATTTAAACGCTCAGCACAAATTTAACCCTGCCCTGCTGTCAAGTATGAGTAAAGATGGGAGAACAGAACTCTTCACTAACATAGGAGCAGCTTCTGTTGTTACTCCGAATGTTCCTACTCGGATAACACCTTCTAATACAGCAGTCGGAGGGTACATTGAAAAGGAAGAAGATAACGGCATTTTAGTGGGAATCCATCCTGGGGAAATATTGCGTATAGGCTCTTTCCTAGTAAGAGTTAGCGCTACTGGAGCAGAAAACGTCGCTTTGATGCTAGAAAACCTAAGTCAAGACGTTTATGCGAATCTGATGACTGTCTCCTTCAATGTTCTGTCCAGACTGGTCCCAGAAGAAATAGGAAGGCTACGGTTGCTCAGTCCAGACGAAGATCTCATTGTGCAAATTGTGAAATTTGTTTTCAACTATATGAAACACGAGAGGCCGCTTGGTGACCCCTCAAGGGAGGATGATAATAGTATCGTTATTGTGCTGAAGGAGTTCTTCCAAGATGGCGTCATCAGACAAGAGACGATACTCCATTTGAAGGATCGCCTCGTCGGATGGGTTGACGAGGAAATTGATAAGAGAAGGCACCAGTACCCTAATAAGAAAATGCTTATATGTGAAATTTGCACCGGTGTCAGATATGCTTAAAGTAAAATCTCACCAAAAAAAATTTAGTAGTAGGTAGGGTTTGATTTAAACATTACTATCCAAGTTGATGTTGGGATACAAAATGTATCCTGTATATAAGGTTTCCTATTCAAAAGCTTCAATTAATTTTGAGAAGAGTTTGGCTTAAAGGCGGCAACAGTTACGCACATAAAAACTTAATTTTATTCATATTTTTAATAAAAGTTAACCATAGCTGGCTCTAATGGTACTTATTTTAAAACCTACGATATTTAATTACTATAAAAATTTGGGTTTTATAAAGAACTATGTACTTATAAAGAAAAAATTGTTACTATACAGGAACAATTCCGTTGGGCCCAGGCGTCAGGACGCTTACAAGAATTCGTCTTAAGTGACTTAGGCCTGTATTATAGAAAGATTCTCAGTGATTGATCTAATCTTGAGCATATTTAGAGAGGGATGTCGCTATACAAAGGACATAGCGGCATCCCTTTCTAACTGTACTCAAGTAAAGATCTGCACTTAGTTGTCATTATGTAATATATCCTTAAAGTGATACAATATGATTTTGATCTTTATTACAAATCTTAGATAATTTAATTTCATTATATTATAATTTACACTCATTATCTCTCATCATACATTTTAGGGCTACCTGAATAAAAATAAATAAATAAAAAAATATCGATTTCATTTGAATTCAGATTGATCGTTTGCATAAAAAATATGTACCTAGATATATCCGATATATAATATATCGGATATTTATTTTAAATGTCGGATGTTTTGTAACCCTGCAAAGAATGAAAGTTGGATTGACCAACGATGCTGGTTACCAAACGAGCTTAGCACAAAGGAAACATTCACAATTATATATAAATGAGATAGTATAATATGTAGTTCCTTTATTCTTATGTCAATATTATATCCATATTATATTAAGTATTAAGCACAATTTTATAATTTTTGATAATATATACATACTATTTCGCATTATTAATACAAAGATAATATTTGTGTATATACATTTTTACTATTTTAATAATAAGCATTCTACTAACACTACATCAAAACATATCAAAAGTGGCCGATTTTATAATGATATTTAGTAAAATATGGAATAAGTATGCCTATAATCATCATAAATATGGGTTGATCTCAGGTTGTCTAGGTCGCAGTGTGACTAAACCCCATTAATGAGTATATTGCAAAATGACTACATATCATTTTCGTCTAGATCTTTAATTGACTATATCGCATAATGACTACATCGCAAAATTAATATATCTTTATTTGGTCACATAAAATGAAGACTAGACTCATAATGACTAGGTTGCAAAATTACTAGATAGCTTATTAGTCGAGTTTGTGTTTTGTTACATAAATGTGCAGTCAAATGAAACACACTACACAATGACGGATAATAACACATATGAATTACATTTAGGTATGCAACTTAAAACTTAAAAATATCATTTCGGAACTAAATGTTTTCTTATCTATTTAAATTTAAACTAATATTCTTTTAATTTTATACATGACCAATTTATTACAATTCTACAAATAATAATACCGAGCTTCTGTTCTTCGTCTAAACATGAACTTTATCCCCCTTATTAATAAATGAAGACTACGCTTGGATTAGTTAATCCATGTTTTGTCTCTGTCTATTGAATGACAAATGGCATATGAGTGACATGAACAAAACACGGCGTAACTAGTCTAAGCTTATTCCTTGTTTATTAATAAGGGGGTATCAGTCTTCCTTTGCTGTAGCCGAACACCAATGAGCCAGTGCCCTGCCTCTAGAGTTTTATTAGTTGTATGCCTTTTTGAACAGCAGGAAATCATAGACGGGTTTTTTAACCACTACCATATATTATTTTATGAATATTTTCTAAATTCCTGAAAGACTTGTTTAACTATTTATCAAGCCCTCTGTCCTTAAATAATATTTTGTCACTATATTGAAGATTTTCCAAAGTCTTATGTCTCATTCACTCTACGTTTTTTTTAAATATTATGTAAATAAACCTTGTCCTGATGGTATAACACAAAAAAATAAGAATTATCCAATTTGATGCAGTTGTTCGGAAATTATGCGCGTTCATACATTTCGGCAATTCATTTTTATTAATTGAGATTTTACACAACTGTATTGGTATATCTAGTCGATCAACACAACTTGTCATTTTGCGACCTAGTCATTATGAGATGTTGTCAAATAAAGATCTAGTCATTTTGCGATCTAGTGATTATTTGATGTGGTCAAATAAAGATCTAGTCAATAAGCGATGTTTTCGATTTAAGATATAGGCAAAATGATATATACAGTCATTTTGCGATGTAGTCATTAATGGGGGTTAGTCACACTGCGACAACCTGAGATCAATCCATAAATATAATAATAAGAAAAGCCTAATGGTAAAAAAATCTTCAATAAATGCCTTTAATATACATACTACTTGATGTTTAAAAATATAATCCTGCTTCTGTCGCATTCGGCCAAAAAACTAAACTATAACGGTAGAACTACCAAAAAACTAGGCAGGCACTGTTTTAAACAGTGTTAAGGCAAATTCTGTATGATTGTTTTTTGTCATTAACTCAAGTTGAACTCATGCATGACTAACTTTTTTGTGATTTTGTATGGTATAGGTATCAATATCATTATTTATCAATTCTTGTTGTATATCTTAGTATTTAGTTTAGGGATATTTCCTTCCTAAAAAGGAGGAAACCCTCCAATGGTCTGTGATTGTAAGTGATTATTCTTTGTTAAATTAAATAATCATAGAAAGTAGTCTGTCTCAAAGCCATTTGAAATAAAATACTTATTCGTTATTATAAATAAAAACCACTGTCTATTACTTTACTTCAACGACGCACAACTAAGTAAGCCATGAATTGACTGTTTTGCAGATACAATTACGACATAAAAGTATTTCTATTTAAGATATCTAACAATGAATCATTTTGTAATATTTATAAAATTTGCGAGTCGATCCATAAATGAAACAAATAATGTTGAAATAAAATATTTCAGTATGATTTTGGACCGTTTAAACATACATAATCAAGGGAATAACTACAGTGGAAATGAAAACCCTTTAATAAATATTAGGAGAAGCATATATCGTCGGTGATATTCTGAAACCGCGGAACTAACAGTGTTTAAAACCGCGTAAGGTAGGTGCAGTGAATTTTACAGGAACGAAGAAAAACATAATATTTACTGAATCACATGACTTTCTATTGTTTAAACATTTAAATCGTCAAATTATAATATTCTTCTTGGTATTAGTTTTGTTAAATATGTATTAATTAATTAGTAAATCGACTTTCGCGGTTTTATTATCTCAAATAAAATCAAAATGAGTTTTTTTATGTCACTTAAGCGGAATTGTCCGCCGAAATAAAACAAAAGAATACAATCAACATCCTATAATTATTTATTAAGTCAACTTCAGAGTTTAATTTTTGCCACATATTTATCACCGGTACATTAGGTAATCAACAATATACAGGAAATTAACACCATAAATCCCCATAATGTTAAAAAAAATAGCTCTTTATAGCTAAGTGTGTTAAACATACCTTGTTGAGAGGGTACTTACTAATTAACAGTTAAAACTAAAAATGAAGAACAAAACGGATATAAATATTACTTCTGAGTAGAATAATAATTGCACTGAGGTCTTTGTTAAAAATGAGATCAATAAAACATTACTTTTTCTTAAATGGCAAATTATCGTAAAATAAGTGTCAATCTGCAGGTATCACACTCTTTAATTGCTGTAAGTGCTGATACTTACTGTCTAATATAGGCAGTCTAGATGAATACAGGGGAGGTACATTATAACTACAGCTGAAATAGGTTTTGGTCTCCGAGGAAGTGGGCTGAAATCATCTTTAAAGTGTTTTTTAAACTCTGTTGTGCCGTTAGGATTATACTTTAAAACCCTCAGATCCACTACGCAATCATCTCCAGCAGAACGCCCAGGACGAATGGAATCATAAATTTGGTATTCTTTTAGACTGTAGTCTTTAAAAAAGGTGTAATCTGGTTGAAAAACCTGGTATGGAGAAGGATGCTTCCTGGCTTCTTTTGTAATTGAGGCATACTGAGAAGGAAGAAAAATTTCAACATTTTTCAGCTTTCTTTCCACTACGGAGTGTACGGAGGCAACCTCCATTTGAGTGTGACCTTTTTCCAGATACTTTTCTGTAATTGTTGTATTTTTGTCTACTGCTAATCTTATAAGGGCATTAGAAACTATTGAGTTTCTGTTCTGTGCAGTGCAGCCATCCGTCCAGATGACAACATCCCTGCAATCTTCTTCTAATAACTTAGTCAAATAATCAATGAAAAATGATGCGTAAGTGGTAGCTCTTAAATCACAGGCGGTTTCGTCGAACCAGTAGCAAGTTACATGCATACGCGGTTTGGGCACAATAAACAATCACCTGAAGTTACGCGGATGAAAAGACATTCGATTCCACGGCTTCCTATTGGATAATAGGCCCAGCCATCATCACAGAACGCAGCCAATCACTACAACGAAGCTAAGCCCGCGAAATCTCGATTTTGCTAGTTTTGTAAATACGCGGTTTTAAACACTGTTAGTTCCGCGGTTTCAAAATATCACCGACGATATATTGTTTGTAATCTAATTTTTTTTTGTTATAATTAACTAAATACCCAAGTATTTCTATTATTTCTGTTTATTTATACTTATGTTTAGGTATTTATATTGCAAGTAATTCAGAGATAGTATATTCTAAAAAATCAATAGTAGGCCTTGATTTACCTTATGATATGAATTGACCCTTTTACAAGTAGTTATTAGATACCTACATATAGAAATATAATGTTCCAAAGAATACAGCTTGTTTTTATAATAAAGTGCACTGTGATAAATAGTAAACTATTTAGATTATATATATATATGTAGGTGGATATTTTATATAGCAATGTACAAAATATCGTGCCTTTATCGTTTCTCAATATCGTCTTATTGTTTTTGAAAATAAATATTAAATTATGGGATTCATTGTCTATTCATTTTTTTGCATGTTATCTCGCCATTAAGAATAATTTCGAAAACAAACTGTTGGAGACCCTAATTAATCTTACTTTTTCTGTGTGGTTCAAATGGACATTTCATACCCCATTTTACCTCTCAAATTTTATTTCCGCTACAAAAAGTCGACAACAGGTCGAGAGTTGAAGAAAGCAATCGAAAAAGATACCTTGACGGCACTTTCAACAGGAGAACTAACGTATTGGCTAACAGATTCTAATAATGTACTCTATCTGACAGATATTTTTATTACAAAAGGCTTGTCAAAATTAATCTCTAATTTCTGGGAACATCTTCAAACAATCATCTTAAACCTGCAGCGTGAGAGTTAAAAAGATTCCGATTGCAATTTAGGTAGGGCACAGCGGATTTCAGCTTAAATTGGAGAAGTAAGGCCGTATACAGAAAGAAAGTCGAAAGCCGATCCTTTTTCTAGGGACCAGCGCCGATAAGCGCCGATCAGCGCCGACACGCGCTGGTCAGCTGGTCATTATGTTGTCCGAATAATAAATGATTTGTATTTGAATTATTATCCTTAGATTACCTAAATCAATCTAAGTTATAATCTTTTTATAAATCTAATAACTTTATCTTTTATTAACTAAGCGCTAAAATTATTTGTTTCGTACTTACCGAATGGTGACAACAAGTCTTTCTTCTGGAAGGATTGGTTGTTTATGCCAATTACACCAATTTTTCATCAAACGGTTTTTCACTAAATCCAAAATGTAATAAAATGTTTCTTGAGTCATTCTTGTATACTTAATGTACAAAATCTTTGATCATCAAATTTCAATTTTATTACAAACTAGTGGCCCGCCCTCGCTTCGCTTCGGTGTAGAGCTGTAGTGTAGACTACAGTTTTTGTTCTCAGGCGTGTGTTGAACACATTGAATCTATTTATTTAATTCTTTTTCTATGATTCTTTTTTTATTGAATAGGTAATAATGTTAACTTTTTTAAATAAGAGATGAGTGAGAGTATTATAAACGTAAGAGTAAACAAATATAATCAGAATGCTCCGAACTGCTAAGCTATCAGGAGTTACACGTATTATTGTGAGTAAACCATAAAAGATAGACATATGCTGTTGCAGGATATTTTTTAGACAATTTTATGTAGAATATTTCCGTGATACATGATTTCTATGTAACTTTAACCATTAAGGCTGCGCACGCGACGGAAGCTTAAAAAATGGAGTAACTTCTCCCGTTTTCCCAACCCTTCACTACTCTGCTCCTATTGATTGTAGCGTGATGAAAAGTATACTATAACCTGCCCAGGAGTATGAAGAATAATTGTACCAAGTTTCGTTAAAATCCGTCAAGTACTTTTTGTTTCTATAAGGAACATACACACAGACAGACAGACAGACAGACAGACAGACAGACAAAAATTTTACTGATTGCATTTTTGGCATCAGTATCGATCACTAATCGTTAGATAGTTTTTTTGAAAATATATTTCATGTACAGAATTGACCTCTCTACAGATTTATTATAAGTATAGATAAATGATGGTATTCTCCGAAATGTTTCCTCCCTCTATTTATAGGATGTATAGATATTTTTCGCATTTTTAAATACACATTTTCTAACAAAACCAAATCATCGTCCGATGAGTCCGACATTTTAGTCTAGTCAACAAGTGCCTTTTTGGTCAACTTTTTTCAGCAGTCTCCGAAAATTATGATCGAGGTGTCATTCGATTCGGAATGGCATCTAGATGATTTTTGAAAAAAATGAAGTTCCACAAACAAAAATTGCAAAAGTTATTAACAATAAACTAAAAAAAAGGGGGGGTTTCGTTTTTTGCAAATATCTCGGAAACTAATAAAGATATTTAAAATTAAAAAAAAGATTCAAAAAAATGGTTGCCTGTAAAGTCGGTTTTACGGGCGAAGATTTTACGTGACAACGTCTTTTTCTCGGTAGAATATTTATTGATATGAATATAATTAAATTGCACAATAGGAACAAGGAATTGAATGAAAATAAGAATTGCACAAATTTTAACTATAGAAATATATTTTGTTTACTAAAACATTGTACATGTAAACTTAAACTTAACACGAGAGACTCATCGTAACGTTACCGAGCGTTACACTTTTTCATAAGTGACTCCCAGCCGCAACCTAATTTAAGACGTTGTCACGTCAAAAGAGGAGGAAATTTCCTAAAAAAAAGCGTTTTCGGCCGTATTTTCATCCCTCTGGGAAACGGCTCCTCTGGCTTGCGTAAGCCACGCCTACTTTGGGCACTTTATTAATAAAAATTATTTTAACATGTTAAATATAAAATTTAAGAAATGAAAAAATTCAGGGGCTTTCTGGATAGATGAATGAACAATAATCCGCGTGAAAAATTTTTTTATCACAATTTTTCAATTAGTTATGCAATTGTTAATTAAAAATTTTTTTCCGCTTGAACATAAACATTGCAATTGTGATTATTGTTAAACTATAAATTTGAGATTTTTTTCCTCTCTTGGAGCAATTCTTGAAAGGCTTTAGAATAGATCCCCGTTGGAAAAATTAAAAAAACAATATTTTTCAGTTTTTAGCAATTTTTTTAAGAAAACGAGCGCCGTCGCGAAGAGTCCGGGCAAATAAGAAAGGTTTGTTTTCCCGATTGACTGCCTGCAGAGGAGATGCGCCGACCCGCCGGACGGAAGGGCACCCGCACCCCTCCGGGAGTGGCCGCCGAGACCCCACGCCCCGGTCACCAACCGGCACGACGGTCCACCCCGAGATTATGCGTGACATGATGGGGCAGCCTCGCGAACTGGTTAGGAACGCTTGGGCTCTTGTACTGTGCCACGGGCGGCCAGCGGGACGTTTCTACGGGTCTCCCTGGCCGACGGGTCGATGCAGTCCTCCCGGCATCGGTTCCACGGATGCCTCCCCTGGACCGAATCCTTCGCGACAACTTCCACTCGAGCTCTGGTTGTACGCTGGCTGACCCCGAAACGCGCGAGAAGCACTTCACGGATTTTTCACCATGATGCGCACGGTGGTAACAAACCAGGCGGGTGTTAGGCACCCTACCACCAGAAGAGCGGATGGAAGCTCCGACATCCCTTAGTCGCTTCTTACGACATCCACGGGAAGAAAAGGGGCGGTGAGTTGTATTCTTTCTCCGTCACCGCACGGATAAATAATAACGGACGAACGATACGACGACGAGTAAAATAATAACGATGTCGCATTTAGTTTGTCAGCTTCTTGCTTAGAAGTTTCAAATTTGGCAAGGTGTGTAAAGGCGTGTAAATAGCCTACCACTGTGTTTGCGAGTTCGGACAATGGCGTACTTTTGGTAAAACTGTACTTCCAGGGCCCAAAAGGTGATACTTGTTTTTTTTTGTAGAAAAGGTCTTTATAACAGTTTTTTTTTCTGGCGCTTCGCCGGCCGCTGCCGCGGCACGCTCGCTTTGCTCGCTCGGCTCGCGCGTTATGGTCACAACACTAACCTAACCTAACCTAGTGTGAAGTATCACCACTTGATAAGAAAAGTAAAAATTTTCAATATTTTTTTCCAAAAAACTACCAGTGCATAAGTGTGACGTTTTTTTTAATAATGTGGTTAACAGAAATCTTTTTAACAACAAAAATGCGAAATTACAACCAACAACACTGTGAAGTTTTTACTTTTGGGCCCTGGAAGTACAGTATATCCGTACTTTTTAGTATGAGCGGGCTGGTTGAAGACCACAATAAAGAAAAAACATGAATTTTGCACGTGAAATTAGAAATGGCGCAATGTCACCAACGAGTCACCTGGATATTTTCCCGCTCCTAACTTGGGCATACAAGCGTGGGCACACAACCAGCTCCGGAGCAGCATATTGTCCTTTATATAAGAGGGTATGATACGATTATATTGATATTGCGCGTGGCGAAAATGTAAGTACATGACTATTCGCGTATAGATTAGAATATTCGCGGTACCCACGTATCTGCCATCTGGGCAAGTTCGCAGATCGAACACCGGCACCGGGTGGCGCCAGTGAGCATATTGCTCGTTCGAAATTCAAATGCGAATATTATTGATGTAAATAAATCTTAAACAACAAGTTTCAACCGGTTAGATGAACTTTTGGATGATTTTATTTATTTATTGACGTTTCGCATCCTTTGCAGGAATGCGTCGAAAGAATAATGATTTTTTATTTTCTTTGTCGAGCTACCTTCGAAAGTCTTTTTATTGAGCGTTTGGATATTTCATTGGAAATTTAAAAAAAAAAATTGTCTATGCTATGTCTATGAATTTATTAGCTAATTTAATTAATAAAGTACTTTATTTAATTCTTTTCTATAATTTTGAGTTTATTTACGACGACGACGTATTCTTGCGATATATTCGACGTAAAGGATGCGAAACGTCAATAAATAAATAAAATCAGTGTATCTGACCCGTTGAAAGTTGTTTTTAATGAGTGATGTACGTGAAAACCGTAACCGTACGTGTAGATATTTTAAATGTAATGTTTAAATTTTAATAGAGTAAGGATCTTGATATACGGTAGTGATTATTGACCGATACACATAGATCAAGTATAGCGAAATCCTAGATCCATTTAAATTTAACCATATCAGTTATTACGAGTTAGTAGTACCTACCTACCTATTTATTTTGTTTCAATACAAAGTAAGCAATAATATAACAAATACTTGATAGTTTAAGGGACCTATTAGAGGAAAGTAATCAAATATGGAATAGTATCCTCAGGGCCGGAATTAAAGCAGGGCAGGCATGGCCGTGGCTCAGCAGACCTCACAACAGATAAAAAAAAATCGACAGGCCACCAAACCAACACCCCCTACCCGGTGTTGCAAATTGTAAGTGGTCGCACGCAGACAATGAGCCAGATGCCGTCTTAGGCCAGGAAGCTCCTGACTCAGCAGATGCAGACTTCTGTAGCAGCCTGTTTTCTCAAGATACTCGAGGATCAAATGCCTTATGTGTGGGCTCTAGGCACAGGGTAAGTGCGCAGGTTTTTTTTAGTGACGCAGGCAAAACCTCTATTTACGACTGCGCCTTTAAGAGGCACACCGCCGAACGGACCTCACACCTGGCTCCCGCAAGCTTTACGGACCCCCGCAGTGGCTGCCCACTGACGATCCCGTAACTCTTACGGGCGCTTTACGGCATAATATCCGCTAAAAACCCTGCGAATACCCTCTAAGCTGCTTATGGCGAGAGTTCGACACCTGGATATGTGATTTTTGCAAAGAACTTACAGGAACTTTGGTCTGTTTTAACTTCCGGTAGGATCTTATAAAAGGAAAGGGTTTTTAGTTGTCCATATTTGTGTACCTTTTCCATAATTAGCTGCCTTTATGGTGATTTTGTTTTTGAGAAAATTTTACATTTAAAGTAAATATAATAATGTGAATCAAGTCAATCAAGACGTCAATAAGCGCAACTGTATGACTGATAGTAAATTAGAATAAAATTTTTTGATTTACAATACATATCTTTTTATCAAACAAAATAAAAATGGGTTTCTTTCCTCAAATTTTATTTTTAAAATTCTAATTAATTTTAAAAATAAAATTTCCCTAATACTGAATGTAAAAACTTACCTAAGTAGTTAGTCGCTCTAAAAATTAAATTGTTTTATTGTTATTGTAATAAAGTTGGCTATAGTCTCTGTGGCTGAAGCATTGGCACAGTTCGTATGTAAATTAAGTCACACTATAATAGAAATAGTATATTGTTTTTTATTCTACATACATATCACGGTATTTAGTCGGAACATTTGGATTCAAAAGCAAAATTATCGTCAAATGTCATCTGCATGACATTGAAGCTGAAAGGTTGAAGTCCTTTTGTTAAATAATAATAAACACACAACAATTATCCTAGCTCTTCAACTCTGTTCTCATCCTTCTACTCAATTCTTAAAACTTGTTTTTGCTCTTCAAGCTGCTCTACAGCCTCTCCCTAAGACCCCTTTTTTTAACCCGGAGAAATGCGTTACGCATACCCCATCTGGGTAAGGCGACGAGGTTATGTATGTGGGACTCTTCCTCCCACTAGGGGTAGCGCAATGGCTGCTTTAGTTACATCATAAAACCCTTTTAGTAATCAGCGACAACAAAATCGATGCAACACAGTCGTGAGTGACTAGGAGCTACTATATTTTATACGATAAATTAACTAACTATTATCACAATATAGATAGTACAGAAGGTAATCTACATATAAAGTGCGGTCGAGTAACGCACATGTAGACACCGCTCACAGATACGTTATCTCGGACCGCTTAGGACCAGTGTGAGTGCGAGGTTCATCTTCATCTGCTTGAGAAACGCGTCTATGAACTTTTTTGTGCAAATAAAGAGTATCACAAAAATAGTTATTAAAACTGTTCACTAGACGATTGTTTGAAGATCGTTTTTGATGTGTGACATCTTTCCTCTCGCTTTCCTGTAATTTGTGAGAGTGATTTTTTGAAATGGGATGGAAGTGTATAACAGGAAGTCGCGAAAGCGCGCGCTATTTAATTTGATTTTAATGATCAAACGGCTTATTCCTTTTGTAGTAGGTTTAATTTCTTTTTTTTTTAACTTTGTATGGTCATTACTTTAGTTATTATTGGTTTATAATGTATTTCCATTCTTCCTGTTTCATTCTCAACAGTAAATTTAACAACTAGGTATGTGTACAAGCGTCACTAATTACCACGTTTCTTTTTCAGAAGCCAAAGTTGACAATGCTAGAACAACCGACGACCGTAGGTATGAAAAGTGAAGTACATACATAAGATTACCTTCTGTACTGCCTATCTATTTTGTGCTATCATGGTCAACATAAGATAAGAATAATAAGCTAAGTTAATTTTTCGACTTCATCTAAGCGGCACGAGTACGCAATGAGATAACAACACATTATGTTTATGAAACGTGATCTACGAACAATTACTGTTTCTGTTATCGTGGACGGTGTGGGCCTTCGTATTTCCACGGCTCACACAGCAGTACCATTTCGGCGGTGATAGTGATGTTACCGACGGTAAACCCAGCTAAAATGTGAACTACGCTAACTAAGCCGATTAAAACATTAGGACGATACAGTGTTAACAAATATGCGTCTTGAACTAAACCAACTAAATCGAAAATATTTTCGGATTTTATATATAATTTCCTTTATGTCTTTAGCTCTATATACAGTGTACGAATATGGACGTGTTATTTCAATAAATAATATCACAGGAAAAAATGAATTGGATTCATTAAGTGATCGTCAGTTAGTAGAGTTTTTTGAAAATCAACGCTATCTGAAACATGAGTTAACAGTGCAAAGTTACTATGAAAAACGAAAGGTAAGGGGATTGCGTGCAAAGTCTAATTTAGATTTATCAATACTTTGGACAGATAAGATACCTATTCGATTAATTATTATTCCAACTTTAAATAAAACACAGTGGGTCATACATAGCAAAGCAAATATTTTTTTGTGACGAATAATGCAAAATTGTAGCCAATGTATTTTTAATTTCAAACACTAAACTGTAAACTAACAAATGTAAAGAAAACTTCACTAGAAAAAAACCTTTATTATTATACTGTGTCAATATATAGGATTTGTCAAATTAATATTGCTTCTATTTTTAATGTATACAATGAAATGCTAATAAAGAGATGCATTTCAAAGCGATTCAATAAATTAAATATTGCACTCTCAATCCAGTATACCAACAGATACCTATAAAATAAAAATAAATTAGTGCAGAAAAGCAATGAGAAAATTGCAATTGTTATTCATTCAGAATGCTAGCTAACAATCTTTTATTGCAGTCAATAGTTTTCCACGTACAAATAATAAATACAGTTAATTACAAAAAGGTAAATTAAGAAAAATCCTTTTTTTTACTAACTCAATTACGCAAATACGGCAGAAAACTTGGCACTTGGCACAGACTTGGATGAAAACTTGGCACATGGATAAACTATTACTTACATCACTAATTATAATATTACTTGGATTCTGACCGGAGTCATTAAGGTATTACAAAATCATCTAAACGTACATATTTGTTTCCGAATTTAGTTTTTTTTTAATATCTGTTGACATACTTCCACTGTTGGGCTTATGTTGTACTCGATTTACCTCTGCTCGATCAACACTTCCCAAAATTAAATTTAAGTTTAAAGTACTAGCGGCCGCCCTCTAACTCGTCAGCTTTAACTGCTAATTTTCATCCAAATATGTTCAGCCATTTTTGCGTGATTGAGTAACAAACTTTCACATTTAAAATATTAGTAGGATTTGTGGAATAACGTTAAAATATTAACACATTCTGTGAAAATATCAATTATGTTTCTATTAAAAACGGGCCGATACTCAGTGGATGGAACCACTTAATCTTAAATACTTTTTACCTCTGTATTGTCACATTGCATTGTCAGGAAGAAATCGCTGATTAGCGATAAAAATGCCCATTGTCTTATACTGATTACCAATTTTCATTACATTTTTTTATTTTTTTGATGTACAAACAGGTGACAAACATTCAGTACAAAATTATCTTCATTAACACACAAAAAACAAAGATTTAATCTTTAATATGTACATTCTGAGTGACTTAATAATAATAACAGAGTGCTTGACATGCTAAGCTATAGCCAAATCATATTATATATTTTTTAACTTGATTACTAGCAATAGTTTAAATAATTATAAATGATACAAATTAGCAATTAGATTCTTCTTAAATACTAAAGATCTACGATCAAATACATCTATTTCTGCTCCATGAACGACGAGTTCATTATATTGGCGACACATACGTGATAGAGGGTTATAATAAGAAGTTTTATTGAGATATACAGGAAGAAAAAATGTCATAGGCTTTAAAATTCAAGGCATTTATTTTTAGTTTGTGTTTCTTTACTGTGATGTGCAATAAAGTGGTTTATCTTATCTTATGTCTGTGATATGATATGTGTAGGTATACACATACTAACAACAAATGGTGGTTTACTGTTAACTTCAAATACTAATATTACCCAGATTTAGTATTATTTATGAACATATTGTGTTGCAGAGCTGGGCAACCTCAAACTTAGGATCAATAATGTATAAGAATACTCCGCAACCAGCGCCCAACAATAAAACATTTGTTGTTTTAGTCTGGAAATATTATGACTGGCTGAAGAATAGACACGTGAAAAGTTTTGATCATGGACGGTAAGACAACATTCTATAATTACAAAAATTATAAAAGGTGCCGGGTAAGCTTGCTCACGAGCGCGGTTTGAACGTTTGTAGCGACCTTAAACCGTTGCTAGTGCCGGTATCGTTAATAAACCCACGGAGGTTTAAACCCATACACAACTGACGATCTGACGTTTAAAACCGTGCCTACATCCGTAACCAGTATTAAACTGCTACTCCCTTATTAATAAACAAGGTATAAGCTTAGACTAGTTACGCCGTCTTTTGTTTATGACACTCAAATGCAATTTGTCATTCAATAGACAAAGACAAAACATGGAGTAACTTATCCAAGTGTAGTCTTCGTTTATTAATAAGGGGGCTAGAGATTTAAAAGAAAACTTAAGAAAACTACTAGAATAATTTCCACTCGTACAGGCACTCAGGTATCGGACGGGACTCGAACCTGCGCTGCCTGCATCTTCAGCTATAAGAAATACCTACTGGAAGAAATTCGATCCGGCCATAGGCTTGGTAGCATAGTGCGTCCGCCCTCGGGTCGACCGCCTAACTCAACGATATAGGTAGCACTACTATGGTCAAATGCGATGGACATGACAATCTAAGCCTTTCATTGATAGAAGAAAACGGCGGAGGAATTCTCTTTTATAACGATTAGTAGTACAGTCATTTGGTAAGAAATATAGTGGTTACCTGGAAAGTTTTCCGGGAGTTTTGAAAATTGGTAATTTTATAAATTTTGAAGTGTTCTTTCCGAATTTAGACTTTGCCACCTCGTATTTTTGCCGCTCGCGCCGCCATATTGGAAAAATGGCACCTAAAAGCAGTTTTTTGACAATATCTCCTTTCCAACTCATTTTACGATAAAAACAGTTACTACAAAATGAAACTAGAGACAATTGCCTACAGTTTATGTATCTACCTTTTTTTCATAAAGTCAATAGTTTTGGCGTACGAGCGCCGTAAAGTGTACTCCAACGCGCATTTTGGCCAAAAACTCATTTCCACACCACCTTGATTTAGCGCGTTTTTTTTAATGTGGTATCCCCAATAGGCCTTATCCACATGCAATTCAATGTGCTAAAATTTAGCGTATTCTCCTTCGCTTTGTTGTTCTCGATGGACCAGGGGGCCAATCGCCTAACTGGATTGCTTTGGAAAACGCTATCGCTTACGATTTCATTTTGTTATTTCTAGCCCCCTGAGGTTTTCAAATGCCTCGCGCTCTTTTTTTTTCTTTTGCATTGGTAATAACAATGTTAAAGAAAATGAGCGTGAGGTATTTCGGCGGTTAGAAATAACAAAATGAAATCGTAAGCGATAGCGTTTTCCAAAGCAATCCAGTTAGGCGATTGGCCCCCAGGTGTTGCAAATTCATCGTCTGTAGTACCAATCGAAACGTCTCAGACTGGTATTTCATCTACATCATGGGTCTATTATAGTATAATATAAAATCTATAGTCAGTATAGTTTAGATTTATATTAATTTTATAACTCACAAATATAATGAGTTGAAATTAAATGCCACAGGTTGCATGAATAATGAGTAATGACCAAAGCGCGCGTTGGAGTACACTTTCCGGAGCTCGTACGCCAAAACTACTGACTTTATGAAAAAAAAGGTAAATACATAAATTGTAGGCAATTGTCTCTAGTTTCATTTTGTAATAACTGTTTTTATCGTGAAATGAGTTGGAAAGGAGATATTGTCAAAAAACTGCTTTTAGGCGCCATTTTTTCAATATGGCGGCGCGAGTGGCAAAAGTACGAGGTGGCAAAGTCGAAATTCGGAAAGAGCACCTCAAAATCTATAAAATTACCAATTTTCAAAACTCCCGGAAAACTTTCCAGGTAAAACTACCAAATGACTGTATGTACTATAATGTGCGTGAAAATAAAATAAAAAACTAGCAGCCTTCACTTCGCTTCGGCGTAGACAAGTTTTTGTTCCCAGTATATAATACAATAGTGTAGATAAGTAGGATGTCTTTTTCTGAAGGTATTTTCTGAAACTATAGAACAGGTTTTGAAAATATTTTCACGAAAGGAAAGTCATATTATTCCTGAGTGATATTAGTTATATTTAAAATAAATTTACCAGTGCGAGGCCGGGCCAGTCGTTAGTCATTTAAATTGCAAACAATTAAGGTAAATATACATTATTTGTAGGAAGTAATCATTGAAACCACTCTACCGATAAAAAAGCAGTATGGAAACATATTATTCCACTGAAGTAGGCTATATTTTATCATCACGTAATAATAAATTTCTCTCATGCAAAGCCGGGGAAGGTCACTAGTGGAATATTTGTAATTTGAAAAAAGAAATACAAGCACCTCGATATCGTTTCATGGCCTTGTAAATTGCTGGGCGCACGCTGGGCGTATGAAATCGTGTTCAGTGTGGATGGATGGATTCTATAAAATAAAATCTCACTTCCGAGTTCAATAGCTCCTATTATAGATTAATATGCATTGCACCACATTACATAAATAAAAGCTAAATGTCACAATGACTGTAAAACCATTACATTTTACGTTTTGTTACATTTTATCTAAATTGTATTTTAACCTATTTAGTGATAGTATGATTGGTTGAATATAAATCTACAATATACCTTACTAAATCAAAATAACACAAACTTTTGCATACCCAACGGAACACAATAATATTATGTCCTTCAAATATTAATATATTGTTTAGAACTGCAGCGGTAGGTTGACAACCTATGTCAGTCATTGATAAATTCACATGAAACAGTTAACAAAGCTGATGTATTTTATTATATTTATATTGTTTTTGTATCTCGATTAAGAATAATAAGTTAACGGAACGAACTAAGAAATCGAACAAGTGAGAATAAATACTCTCACTAGGTCGACGGTCGAACAAATGAGAAAAATAATTCTCACTAGTTCGACGATCGAACTAATGAATCGAACTAGTGAGAATAAAGGTATATGTTTTATCTTGGTTCAGCTTTGTATAGGTAGGTACCTTAAACAGGAGTAAACAAACACGAGGAAACTATTTTTTTAAAACCACTTCGAAGAAACACACTTCGTGTTTGTAAAGGTTCTACAAAAAGAGCACTTATTTAGTAAATAAAAAAAAATATGATATCATTTCACTTTAGTTCTATACGAACAGGCGAAGGTCATTATTTTAGGTACGGTAAAAACTTCTGATGTGTTTTCCTGTATGTAGGTCTGCTTACGTAATAGTGCTTGCTTATTAAACTTTAAACAGTATCTATTAATAAATGAGGCCGCTCGCGACTACGTCCCTGTTAACTTTAGGTTTTTGAAATGCCCACAGGAACCTAACATTTTTGTGGGTAAAAAGTATCATGTCTCAATGCAGGTCATAAACTATATCATACCAAATTTCATCCAAATCCGTTCGGTAGTTTTTGCTTGATTGATTAACAAACATAGTACAAACACACAAACTTACAAACTTTCACATTTGTAATATAAGGAAAAGTAAGAAGATTTGTATCGTTATTCCTTCAGTGAAAAAAAGAAAAAAGTGGATTATCAAATAGGTAGGAGTGTTTCTGCTTGCGGATTATCCGCTCAAATTGGAACTCCCGTCTGGGGGACGTAACTTTCATATTACAGAAGATAACGTTTAAATAACACTGACTTGTGATGTTTTGTTTCTGTCAGTGATTAAAGTTCTAGGCGCTTAACATAAAAAAAAACACATGAGAACTCATAATTAAAAATTACACAATACGTAAGTAGGTCGTGACGTAACATCAAACTATTGATTTACTGAGCTAACAACCGTTTCATCATGACAATTCCTCTAGCTGTCAGATAAAATTGATTAAAGATAAAAAATATATATAGCTACTTTTTGTCCTTAATTTACCCATACCCAAACATTTGTCGTATTATATTTATTATTCTTTTATTTTATTCTTTTTTAGCAAAAATACAGTAAACCGCAGATTTAATGCCATAGGCATTCTCTACCAGTCAACTAGTAAGGGTGTAGGAGACGAATGTTTTGGCCGTATAAATTGTGCAAGTATAGTATTAAATAAATATAATCTGTTTATTGCGCAATGATTCGTCAGGCCAAAGAATCGATCACTATTAACCAACTTCAAAAAAGAAGAGGATTCTTTTTTATGTATGTTATAAATGCATGATATCGGTACTTTATAGATAAAAAAGCTATTATTGAAGTCGGTACCTTATTGTGTGGCCAACCCTATGCACTATGGTTTGCGCTGGGTATGGAGTGGGAGAATAATTAAATGCTTGGAAAATCAACCGTGTCTTTGACAAATATAATAACTATATAATGGAAAACTGCTCATCAGTATAACAAATTTAATTTAAAAATTAACCCTTTAATCTTCATCCTTTACTCTCGCCATAACTTGAAAACGACTAAGTGTACTGATTTCATGTTCTTTTTTATTAACCGACTTCAAAAAAGGAGGAGGTTCTGTGCTCTACTGTATTTTTTTTGTCTTAAGTAGGTACTTTTTGTTTTTATGAAAAAAAACCCAGGAATGTAGGTTCTTACGGATATGTTTAAAATAGTTGCGCAGAAAATTAGAAATTTTAATAAAACTCAACAAAAAACTCCACCCGTTAGATAGCATTAGAGTCGGGGCTTCGACTTTTTTTATTGTCTCTTGTGTTGGTCGATTCCAAATAAGAATTTATTATATCTGCTGGTTTGATAGGAAAATACTCAGGAATATTGGAACCTGTTGCCAATGCCCTATAATCAAAAACAATAGACATGTATATATGAAAGAAGCATCTCAGTAACGCAGACCAGGAATTCCAATATGTCTTCGACACTTCTACGGAAACTGCAGCTGTCATTGGAACCGATTTACATATCCCGCGCATTGCATTTCACCAACGACATCAGTCCAATCATCCTGCTGAGACTCCATGCGATTTTTGGAAGCGATCGATCTTCATCCCGTATTTGGATTATCTTATATCCGCTCTGGAGCATCGTTTCTTTGATAAACATAT